ATCCATGGGAGCCTTTTCCTTATTATCCACAAACCTAATATTCCCTTGTTGAATTGCTTCTTGAATGTTCTTTCTTAACACAATACAATCGACTGTATTATGACTCCACGAATGATGCCATTTATAGTATTTCTTTCCCATCAACTCTTCTTTGCTCGGTATTACCTGGCCTTTAGTAAGCATGATTTTTCCGTCGGCCAAAAGCAAATCAAATATCCCGTCTACCTTATTTATATCGAAAGAACAATATTGCACATCTTTCGATTTTACCATAACACTTCTCTTTTCTTTCGCCTTAATCGATTTCAGCGCAGGGCACGTATATGATTTTCTATTATCATCTTTGCCACTGCCACCTTAGCATATTCTGATTCATTTTCATCGATCAATGTTTCATCGACAAATTCATCTCGTGTTTAACATGCTTTCAATCCTTTTCTTTCAAAAAATTTTCATGTTTCACGGCAATGGAAGCTAATGAAAACATATCATAATAAGGCTAACCCACCATTCTTTCCTTGATAGCAAATTTTAAAACATTAAACGCAAACTCAACAAACATCTTCTCAGGTAATGGTACGAGACACCTGCTCCTTACCTTTCTAAATCGAAACTTGAACTCATCAACGGACCCATTGTTATGTTGTCTCATTGCCGACAAGTCCGCAACAGACACATCCAGTATAGCTCTTTGAAATTGACTATGAAACATTGTTTCCATTTGATCCCAAGAAAATATAGAATGAGGTGATAGATATGTGTACCAGGTAAAAGCAATCTTGGATAATGATAACGGGAATAGATGCAATTTACAATGATCTCCATTTGTAGCATCCCTACACAAAGCAGTAAACCAATTGATGTGTTCTTGCGTCGATTGATCGTCCTTACTAGTAAACAGACTAAATTCTGACATCTTGAACCCCCTTGGGTACGGAATTGCATCCATCCATTCCGAGTATGGTTTTCTATATACCTGCCTAAAACCTCCCACATCGCCACCATATTGCCGTAGCATTTGATCGACTGTGTATTGATTTTGTCTAGCTGGAATCATAACCGGTGGTGTGACTGCTTGAGTCGCCTGCACAATCTGAGACATCATTTGAGATATATTTTATTGCAAAGGTTGATACATTTGGTATTGAGGTATTGGTTGTCGTGGTATTGGCTGCGGCAATAGGTACTATGGTATTAGTTGTGGATGTTGCGGAACTGGGTATTGTGGTACTGGTTGTGGCGGTTGTGGAAATTGGTACTATGGTACTAGCTGTGGTGGTATTAAAATCTCCCCTGGATCTCTGCATTAGTATATGGCCTGAACAAGGCTTGAAGGAGATTAGGTTGAGTAGCAAAACCACTTGATAGCGTGTTGTCATGCGACTAGCACAATGCACTATGTTGAGGAGCCAAATTCGCATTAGCCGCATTTGTCTGAACTGACCCAGATAGGCTACTACCATTGGCTTTTGATGACCTATATTAGTATTCTCATTCCTCAATGATAAATTAACTACGTTATTTTCATTTGTCGCCGCTTGGCCATATGCTTGGCCTACTAACGTATTATCTCCTCTCTAAAGAATCCTTACTGGCATCAGAGGCATAGCTTGTCCTATGGTTCCAATGCTAGGGAGTGTAGTGGAAGGCTGTCCAAGACCTTCAACTATGGTAAGAGGAGGAACAGGCATGGTCTGTGATTGAGTAGAAATAATCGAGGGATTCTGCCTATTAGTGATCTCCTGGACCATATTAATAATAAATGGTTTGATTGCATCAACTACACACCTGACCAGATTGGCTAAACCATTGTGCTGTTCTTCAATAATCCTTCTCATAGTAGCAATTGTAACGGGATTCGGTTCCAATTGCCTTCTCTGTTCCTCAGTGAGATGCCTGGGGATGTCCATCTCCCGTGCTTGTCCTTGTTCCGCCACTGTCCATCCATTCAATGATTCCACACGTGTCACCCGCTCCATAATACGATTCGGGGGTGCACTACTCCCTGCAACGGTGTTGTTATGATCCAATTAGCTCTGACTCCTTGTTCGTGCCATTGTAACTCCTCAAATTGACCACACAGGTCCCACTGGGCGTGCCAAAATTATGTTTCGCCAGAAATATTCCCACGACAAAATATAATTCACTGAAAATTGTTCTTCGATTTTTAATTAGAGGAAACCGGGTTATGTGACTAATTCTGGATAGGAGATAATCCAAGCGTGAGCAAAGAGCCTGATTGTCTTGATCGATAACACAAGTTTCGTACAATGACGAAATTTGATTTATATTTATGAATAATTCAGACAAACTCGTCCAGTTACTAACTGGCGGCATCCGAATTTCTTCGATGCAACATTACAAAGCTACTGGCTTAAAAAGTGAGCAACTACAACTATGGAAACTAAAGGTGCGAGACTGGAAAATAAAGATAAATGAAAGACAACATTTTTTATATGTATTCGTGGGGGGGCCTTCTTTTGGCAGCCGGGTGCTATTTATAATGTGGGCTTGATAACCACCTTGTGATATCGAGTTCAATAACCAACGTTGATCTCATCTTCACCGTTTGTCTAATGACATCTGTCCGCCAACTGCCATCGATCTTATCTTTTTGTTCTGACACCTGTCCTCCCTGAGGTGATAACCGTCATCGAGCTCATATCGTCTTGATACCCGTCCTCCCCAAGGTGATAACTGTCATCGAGCTCTTTTCGTTTGTCCTCCCCAAGATAATAACCGTCATCGAGCTTATATCATCTCGACACATGTCCTTCCCAAGGCAATAACCATTATCGAGCTCATATCATCTTGATACCTGTCCTTCCCAAGACAGTAACCGTCATCAAGCTCGTATCGTCTTGACACATGTCCTTCCCGAAGTAGTAACCATTGTCGAGCTCATATCGTCTTGACACCTGTCCTCCCCGAGGTGATAATCATCGTTGAGCTCTTCTCGTCTTTACACCTGTCCTCCCCGAGCTAATAACCGTCGTCGAGGTCATATCATCTTGATACATGTCCTTTCCGAGGCAGTAACTGTCGTTAAGCTCATATCATCTTGACACCTGTCCTCCCCGAGGCAGTAACTGTTGTCGAGCTCATATCGTCTTGACACCTATCCTCCCTGAGGTGATAACCATCATCGAGCTCTTTTACTTGTTGACAGCTTCGATGACTTAGATCCCATATGGTAATTTCCGTCGACAACTTTTGGCGCTCACTTCTTCTACGGTTCAAGCTTTTTCAATTTCAAATTTCTAAACTCCCCGCCGGGACATCCCAGTACTTGCCAACTGTTTTGCTTACGTGACCCATCTTGTATGGACTACGTCATCCTTTGACGTATTTTACTAATTTATTTATTTCGATTGTCGACAACCTAATTAATTATAGGTGTCAACAATAGGAGATTGTTAAAGAGAAAAGAAGACGCAATTCCTATATGATAAAAAACTCAATTTGCAAGCTCATAAAAAGCGTCATTGTTGTGGCTACAAGTCCATGTCAAACTCTATTCCGGAAAAAACCCTTTTTTATCGAATGGTATCAATTAAGATGTTGCAACTTTCTTCTGGAAAATAGCTCGCTACGTAAAGGGTTAAGAGTTTGCGGTCCAAAACATCAAGGAAAGTGGTGAAATTGGCTGAGAGTAGTTTAAATTTCTTGTGTAAGCGATCACTTCTTTTTCAGGGACCATTCTTTGACGAAGCCATCAGATGAATAAAGGCATGTGATCTACAGTTTTTCCATAGTATGAAATACATAGATAATGTGCAAGTCTCTAATCCTAAAGATGTGAAGCTAAAAACCCAAAAATCAGTGATTTCTTTACCAATTAATTCCTAAAAGTTATCATGCTAACAAAATAAAAAGGAAATGGACAGACTACATGGTGCATGATCTGGATTTCCTTTTACATTATCCTTATCCTCCGAGAAAACTCCCAAAAAGAAACACCCAAGAAGTACCCCACAATACATAAGATCTACAATTGTCCACGTCACACCCAAAAATCTCATTCCTATGTTTCAATTTTATCTTATAAAGAAGGCAAAATGACACAAATAGTTCATGAATTTTAATCTAATATCCAATATCGTCTTCAAACTTTTAATTTGTTCAATATGGTCCCTTAACTATAGTTCAATGTATCGTTTCTGAACTTTTAATTTATTCAATATGATCCTTGAATCTTGATACGATGTCCAATATGATTCATGAATATTTTAGGAACCTGATTGAATATTTACTAATAGTTTATGGACCATATTGAATAAATTGAAAGTTTATGAATGACATTACACATTGGATCAAAATTCATAGACCACGTTACTCAAATTAAAAGTTTTATGATGATATTGCACGTTGAATGAAAATTTAGAGATTATATTTGTGTTATTATCCCTATAAAGAAACTGCAACAAATAAAGAAACAGAAAAGAGAAACAAGGAAAACCAAAAGGAGAAAGAAAAATCCTCATTTTCCTCATAAACCGGCCCCGAGACCACCCCTTCTTCCTCTCGCCACCTGGAAACCCAAGAACAAGGAAAGAGAGAAATGGCAAACAATCTTATAAAGAAAGAGCAGCTAATAAAGAAAACCTAAAAGAGAAACAGGAAAACCAAAAGGAGAAAAACAAGATTCTCCTTCTCCCCATGAAACCGTGAGACCCTTCTTCAGTTCTTATAAAAAAATGAAATTGACAAATTACATGGTGCATGATCTGGATTTCCTTTTACATTGTCCTTATCCGCTGAGGGAACTCCCAAATAAAATCGCCCAAGAACAATTGCCCACATCACGCCCAAGAATAAGGAAAGAGGAAAATGGGAAATAATCTTTATAAAGAAACCACAACAAATAAGGAAAACCAAAAAGAGAAAATTCAAAAAGGAGAAAAAAAAATATCCTCCTTTTCCCCTTTAAAACTGCGAGACAAATCCTTCTTCCTCTCACTACCTCGAAACCCAAGCACAAGACCCAAGCACAAGGAAAGAGAAAAAAATGGCAAAGAAAGAGATGGGAGTTGTGAAGGGACTCTTCCTTTTTGTGCCGCTGCTCTCTTCGGTGTTCACGTGTGTGCTATGCGCACGGGAATTGAACTTTGGACTCGACCCCTTTTACCAGCTGGACAGCGTGCCTTCGGTCGTGAAGGATTTTGATCTGAAGAGATACTCGGGACGCTGGTACGAGATTGCCGCCTTCCCGTCATTCTTTGAGGCCAAGAATGCCGTGGACACGAGGGCCACATACACTCTGAAGGAGGATGGGACCTTGGATGTGTTGAATGAGGGCTGGGTCAATGGCAAGAGGGAGTACATTAAGGGCACTGCCTACAAGGCTGACCCGAGCAGCAACGAGGCCAAGCTCAAAGTGAAATTCTCTGTGCCTCCGTCCTTCCCCATCTTCCCCGTGACTGGGGACTACTGGGTCTTGTACATTGATGCTGATTATCAGTATGCTGTCATTGGTCAGCCCAGCAGAAAGTATCTCTGGGTATGCAACTTTCTTGTCAAGTTTCCTTCGCTTTTTTCTTGTTTTTTTGCCTGTCGGAGATAATTAAATTAGACCTATCAAACGGATTAAGAAATGAGTTTATGACCCATTTTGACATATCTAATTATAATGCATAGGTTCTTGTTTTGAGAGTGATGGTTCCTTGGGCAGTTTGTCTGAATTGTGATTTGGGTTCTAATTGTTTTTTCTTTTGATTCTTTCACTTTTTTATTGGCTAATCGGTGGGATTTTTGTTTTTGCAGATTATAAGCAGAAAGAGTCATATAGATGATAAAATCTATAATCAGCTAGTTCAGAAGGCTGTTGATGAAGGGTATGATGTGAGCAAGCTCCACAAGACTCCACAGAGTGACGCACCTCCGCCGCTATAAGAAGGATCCAAGGAGGACGGCAAAGGCGTTTGGTGGATCAAGTCCGTCCTAGGGAAATTTGGGAACTTAATTTTACAGCGGCTTGATGAAGATGATGTTGAAATTATCTGCTGTCAATAAATAATAAAGAGAAGAAATATTTGGATATGAAAGAAGTTATTAATGAAATGAAGAGAACCGATTGTCACACCTTAACTCCAACAAGAATCAGAGAATCACACTGTCATCCTTCCACCCCGAGATACATAGTCTCAAACACAAATCAATATCGACTTAGAAATCTCATATCCAAACCGAAGAACTTGGAAACTATTTAAGATGAATGGTACGAGCAACCACACAGCAATCACTGCCCAGCGAGTAGTACATAACTCTTTTAAGTAAATGGAGCATCTAATATGTGCATTTATAAAACAATATCAGAACACACTTGTTTCAAATCTAGTAAATGATACACTTACAAGATCAAATGAGTCATATCACTTTAATATAATCATATACATATAAGAAATATTCATTCAATCAACAAATATAGGAACAAATATCAATTGTCCAGTTTATTTATTAATTTCATGCTCAATATCCAATCATGGTCCTAACAAAACGCAAGGTAACAAGGCGGCCAAGATCCTCCCGACAATATCCTCTCATATTATTAGCCGGTAGCTCAGCCAAAAAGATTATCTTTAAACCAGTATGCATATCAAGAAACCACTAGCTAGTCACATCGATAATGATCATGAAACCATAATCGTCCAATAATCGACAAATCAAATCCAAAATCCATTTTATGCATCAAAGTACATTTTACAAACCATTTCAAAATTGATTTCCTAAATCAGGTTCAAACTCAAACATATATTACGTTTCGTAACACGTTTCCCAAAAAGTTTCTCATATCATTCACAAATGACCAAATAGTAGTAAATGCCCAATCCAGATTTTATGCAACAAACATATATTTAATAACTCATGATATATCGAATCTCTATCACTCTCAAGACACGAGTTTACAAATTTAAAGAAGAAATAAGCACCACTTGAAAAAGTTTAAAGCAAACCATGAAAGTTATCCTATCAATTTAGCGAAAAACAATATCAAAATCAAGTAAAATGGTTACCCAACTACGAATTGACTAAATTAAGCTTATTCGCCAATAAAATGACTTATATGTGCTAACAAAATGCTCGTGCAAAGCAAATATTCAAAACTGTCTGTAGTGCAGAGTTTGCGCGCAAAACTATAAAAATTTATTTCAATTAAACTGTAATTCGGAATAAATTTCCCTCTAACCCATATGACTTCACAATACCCTAAATTATCATTTTCATATAAATTCACAATTTAACAACTTGTAAATTGAACCTCGCAATTCAAATTTACATAACTTCAAATTTGTAGTTTAACTCCGAAATTTCCTCCAATTAGATGAGCAAATGGCTTAAATCCTTATCGGGCGTTGCGAAACGTAGTTGATCAAACTCGTCAAGGAGTTCAAAATGCATGTTCACTTTCTATTCTCAGCTTTTCCTTTCTTATTCCCCTTCTCTTTGTTATTCATACGGTCTCCCTCTCTCCTTTCAATCTTCTTAGTTCTTGCTTCTTCTTTTTTTTGTTCCATTTCTATGTTTTTATCTTCAGGCGGTGAAGCCTTAAGGCCAAAAATCAAGGGTTTTTGGGATGGGCTTTGGGCCCATTATTACATTGATGGTTGATTATGAAAAGCAGTGATGATTTTGATAAGGTAGATGTTATTGAAATGAAAAGAAAAAATATGGATTGATCATGAAAATTTTATCTACCTCTGATTTCATTAATGGAATAATTTATGCTAATTGAAGGTTCAAATCTTAATAGATGCCTTCTTGTATGTATAAAATTATGTAAATAAGTATAGATAACTAAGTGGGGAATTATGAAAATAGTTTGTTATATATAAGTAATTTAGAAAAGAGATTGAATTAAACATGAAAAGAAGTGATTATTGATACAAAGAGAAGTGATGGTTGATCATGAAAAGTAGTTATAGTTTCTATAAGGTATCAATTCTCGTTTCTATAAGGTATCAATTCTCAAAAAATGTGTTGTTTGGCTGTCTATAAAAATGACCAAATCACACATGGTTAATAATGGCTTTCTCATGCAACAACTTTCCCTTCTTCGTAACTCTCTCTTCTTCAAAACATTCTCTCTTCTTCTCTTTTCTCGCACAAATTTGACAATACATTGAAGGTGAAGTTCCAATTGCCAGAAGCGGGTACTTCAGTCTGAACCAGGCTGCTAGCACTGAAGAAGTAGTAGTATATCCTTGTATGAAAATAAATATGTCTGCCTTTTCTGTGCGGGGTGGCCAGCACCACGGTCTCATGAAATGCGGACAACCTTAAACTTCACAAAGTGCAGTGATAGCTCATTGTATAAGGAGGACCTTCACATTCATTTATTGCGAAAGAAGGGGTTCATTTATTGCTAATTCTTGGAATGCAATGACAATTTTTGGCACATTCAATTAATGATGCACCATACATGCTGTTTCGAAAGACATCAAGAAACAAGCACCCATTTTCAGAAGTACAAAACATCAAGGAAAATGTTTTTTTTTTTTTGGTCAAGTCAAGGAAAATGTTGAAATGTTGTGAGACTGCTCATATATATCTCAAGTCATCGATCTCTTCTTTTTCTCAAAACCATTCGTCGACGAAGTAAGATAAATCAATGCACGCGACCTGTAGTCTAAGATGATGCAATCCTTTCAAGGGCTTGGATTGCCATCGCCATTGCATGAGCATTCCCACTCTTATCCATTCTTTTCCAACGTCAATCACGAGTGCAATTCGTCTATTCACAACGGAGCACCCGGTTTTCCTGCAAACCTCGTCCTGGACCATTCCCTGTTTCCTTAGCCTCGAAGATGACTTCGGACTCATCTTCCATGAAGTTGACACATGGGACGTGACCCGTTTCTTCGCTCACAAGTTCCCTAGTTCGTCAAATTCAAACCGGAATTTGCTGCTCCAATGAAACTTAATGAGACGTTTGTCCATCCGAAATCGACAGATATAATGGACAAAATCTATTATTCGTAAAGATATGAAGCTAAACCCAAAAATCAGTGATTTCTTCACCGATGAATTCCTAAAAAATTTATCATGCTAACAACGTATAAAATATTGACAGATTACATGGTGCATGATCTGGACTTCGCATTACACTATTCTTATCCTCCAAGAAAACTATGACAAAATTAACTCAAGAAAAGGAAAAAAACTCCCAAATAAAAACACCCTAGAACCTTATGGATCCGTCTGGCGTTTTCAACCTCTCGGGGTACCCCACGCGCTTAAGGTCCTGGGTCGTCCACGTCACAGACGAAAAATCTCCTTCCCCATTTCTTGATTTCATTCTTATAAAGAAACTGCAACAAAGAAGGAAAACCAGTGAGAGAAACGGGAAAACCAAGAAGAGAGAAAAAGATCCTACCTTTCTCCCATAAAAACTTGAGACGATCCCTTATTCCTCTCGCTACCTCGAAACACAAGAGCAAGGAAAGAGAAAAAAATGGCGAAAAAAGAGATGGAGGTGGTGAAGGGGCTCGATCTGCAGAGGTACATGGGTCGCTGGTACGAGATCGCCTCCTACCCGTCGAGGTTTCAGCCCAAGAACGGCGTGGACACGAGGGCCACGTACACCGTGCAGGAGGATGGGACCGTGCACGTGTTGAACGAGACCTGGACCGATGGCAAGAGGGGCTACATTGAGGGCACCGCCTACAAGGCCGACCCTGGCAGCGACGAGGCCAAACTCAAAGTGAAGTTCTATGTGCCTCCGTTCTTGCCCATCATCCCTGTGGTTGGCGACTACTGGGTCTTGTACCTTGATGCTGATTATCAGTATGCTCTCGTTGGTCAGCCCAGCAGGAAGTATCTCTGGGTATGCAACTTTCTTGTTAGGTTTCCTTCTTTTCATTCACCCCGATTGACGGTCAGAGACTATAGAATTAGTGAGTTTGTTTTGTGAGTGATGATGGTTCATGGGGCGGTTTGTGTTAATTGTGAGTTGGGTTCTAATTCTTTTTTCTTCTGTTTGCATTTTTGTTGGCTAATTGGTGGGTTTTTTGTTTTGCAGATACTGAGCAGACAGAGTCATATGGATGAAGAAATTTACAATCAGCTGGTTCGGAAGGCTGAAGAAGAAGGGTATGATGCCAGCAAGCTCCACAAGACTGCACAGAGTGACACTCCACCAGAAGAAGGACCCAAGGATACCAAAGGCGTTTGGTGGATCAAGTCCATTCTAGGAAGATAGGGGTACTTGATTTTATAGCAAGCTTGATGAAGATGATGATGCAGTGGGCTTCATGCGCTTCCGAGTAAATATTGAGTTTTAAAATAAGCAGCATATGATGTACCTTTGTTTTAAGTCAATCCGCAGCTGTAGTCATGAGCACCGTGTGTTCATTTTGTTTGATGTATATTTTGCTTCTGCTATGTGGGTATATTGTATCAGGGATGATAGGAGCTGTTCAATTATGAGATCCTTCTTGCATTCCTTTGTGTTTTGACTGAGTCTGGGTTACCGGGCAAGTTTTCCTGCCAGTGACTCTGTGATTTATTTTAGCTGAAAGAGAAAGATAATTGGAACTGTCCACCAGACCTTATCTTGTTATGTGGGTCATCTTTTCTGTAAGTGTGGATCATGCAAGTATCCTTGTGGGACTCGTGTATTCTGCAGAGAAATCATGAAATAGGAAATCACGAACAAGAGACCAAGATTTCATTGGGAATTAGCTGGAACAAAAAGCTCAGGTTCAGAAACATATCACATTACTAGAGGTGCAACACAAGAATTTCAGACAGTCAAAATCCAAACAATTTCAGCCAATGTAAACAATTCATAAATGATGATGTGGACATTCTAAGAGTCACTATTCTTTCATCCATCATGAACGAAGTATTTGTGTCATTACAAGATAACCATGACAAAATTACTTTAAAAAAAAGGAAAGACTCCCAAGCAGAAGCACCCTAGAACCTTCTGGATACATCTGGAACATTCAACCTCAGTACCCCCACACACGCAAGCTACTGAATCATCCTCGTCACACCCCCCAAAATTTCGTTCCTCAAGAAGGAAAGCGAAAAGTAGAATAAAAAAATCCTCCCTTTTCCCGGAAAACCTCACCCCCTCGAAACCCAAGAACAAGGAAAGAGAAAAATGGCAAAGAAATAGATGGAGGTTGTGAAGGGACTTGATCTGCAGAGATACATGGGGCGCTGGTACGTGATCGCCCTCGTTCCCCTCGAGGTTTCAGCCCAAGAACAGTGTGGACACGAGGACCATGTAGACTCTGAAGGAGGATGGACTGTGCGTGGGTCGAACCGAGTCTTGGACCGATGGCAAGAGGGGCTACATCTTAGGGCACCGCCTACAAGACCAACCCCTGCAGCGACGAGGCCAAACTCAGTGAAGTTCTATGTGCCTCCATTCTTGCTCATCATCCCTATGGTTGGGGATTACAGGGTTTTGTGCCTTGATGCTGATGATCAGTATGCTCGCGTCGGTCAGCCCAGTAGGAAGTATCTCTGGGTATGCAACTTTCTTGTCAGGTTTCCCTTTTCTTTAGGCCCAAATTGATGGTCATAGACTTTAGATATCATACGTTTTTGTTTTGTGAGTCAAGGGCGGTTGGGCGGTTTGTGCTAATTGTGAGTTGTGTTCTGATTCTTTTTTTTTTTATTCCTTCATTTTTGTTGGCGGTAGGATTTTTGTTTTGCAGATACTGAGCAGACAGTCATATGGATGATGAAACCTATAATCAGCCAGTTCAAAAAGCTGAAGAAGGGTATGATGTGAGCAACCTCCACAAGACTCCACAGAGCGACACTTCGCCAGAATAAGGACCCGAGGACACCAAAGGCATTTTGAGGGATCGAGTCCATTCTAGGAAAATATGAGAACTTCATTTCATGGCAGCTTCATGAAGATGATGAAGTAGGGGTTTACGGGATTTCGAGTAAATACGAGTTACGGAATAAACAGCAAATGATCCAACTCGGTTTATACATTTGCCATACTTTTCTTCCGCTATGTGGGCATATCGTGACAATGATGATAGACTGTCGGTGACTCGGAGCTTTTCAATGATGAGATCCTTCTTCGATTCCTTTCTGTTTGATTGAGACTGCCAGTGGATGTGTGATCGATTGAAGCAGACAGTAAAATATGCTCGAACAGTCCACAAAACCTTATCTTGTCATGTGGATCATTTTCGTAGTACCGTATCATGCAAAAATATCATTGTGGGGTCTGTTTACCGCGTGCATATTGCAGAGAAATCATGAAATTGGAATCACAAACAAGAGACCATGGTTTCATTGCGATGAAGATTTCTCTTGGAACTCCGGGTTCGGAAACATGCACGAGGTCCTCCATGAAGAAAAGAAACGTACTGCCGTTCATGACCTTCATATTGCATTTAACCGTTCTTACCGAAGGTCAGTTGGAAAGTGAAAAAAGCAGCCATTGACCACCAACCCAAGCAGAACTAAGAGATAAGATAGATTCTGCATGCAGCAGCACCAGGAAGAGACGGACTGAATAGAGTTGATAAGCAGCAATTTCTTGCTTTTGTAATGAAGATCTACCGATAGAGTGTGAAATAAGTCTAGCTATTTATCGTTCTCGCATTTTCGCAATCCAGTATTTTAGAAACAAGTTCTTTGAGGTGAACATAAGAACAATAGAGAACCTCTCCACTCTGGAACATAGATAATAAGACTGTACGTTCAATAACATTGCTGACATTACTTGAGAGTGCGACAGAATCTTAGAGAGTGAAAATCCACAGAGTTTCCACCATGTAAACAATTGATAAATGATATATGGACATTTTAAGAATCACTACTCTTTCATCCATCAGGAACAAGGTATTTTCGTCATTACAAGATAAACCTTACAGGATGGTACAACACTGGTTGGTTTTCTTCGCCTGCTTGTAAAACATCTGTTTCAACCACCAAAGATTCCAATATCAGCAACAAATCAAGTTCTGTCCAGAGAAGGGAATAGGAAGACACTACGCCAATGTCACCTCTTAAATGTAAATGCTAGTGTATAGTCAAGATACACACAATCAACTTCCTATTTAAATAAGTGCAACTTGCATGATGACTTGAGATACAACGAATAAAATTTGTAGATGATTCTATGCAAAAAGCTAAATCTTTATGCTGTGGATAAAATGAAGTACAAGACGAATAAATGATTGACCAGATCGTAAAGATAAAATCATCCCAAAGAAAAGAAGATAGAATAGCAATGCTATTGCCCGCCTCATCAACTTTTGTGTGGATGACATTTTCGGCCACAATCTAATAGTTCAGCCATGCAGGACAGTCACGGATTAAGATCCACAACAAGAACAAAGGATGTGTTGTGGTCATCTAGGCAATTTTATTCGGAGGGACCTAAGCATAATGTTGGGCGGTAACAATACTAACTAACAAGGCATGCCTCATGGGTACCTGTGATGCTGCACTCAGATCTGAACTCTTTTCAACAAGACTATCCAGCTTCTCACCACGGGCAAGCACGCTATCAATAGTTTTGTGCTGCGTCAAAGAAATAAAGTGAGAAGGGCGACAACCAATAGTCATCAAGTTGTTATTCTCAATTAATTTTGAAAAGTTCCCTAAGCAATTGCTAATGTCATGAACAAGGAGTAAATAACTACTCAGGATAGTATAGCCCTGAAAATAAAAGTGTGCACTGTTCAGTGAAGGTAACTTGAAAAATGAAGCTGGCCTCCAACCAACAACTAGACAAGTGAGCACATTACATATCTACAAGTAACTAAGACTCTTACTTCATCTGCCTTTAACAAAAGATCCAAAAATACCAGTGGGGCGGGCAATTCAAATTATCTCGGTAAAAATGTTTTTGGTAAAAAAAAGAAGGATCTTATGTGTTTCTTCTCTCAATTTATTATTGTTTTTGTTTTGGTTTGTTTTTTTTTTTTTTTTTTTTTTTGGGGGGGGGGGGGGCCAGTGGGGGTGGTGCGGAGGAAGGAACCATTCGACACTTACAAGTATAATTTTTGTTTCATCCAACTCCCTCTGAATTTTCAACAACTTATCAGCTTCTGCAGGATCCTGACGTAAAGAAAAGAAAGGAAACAGTACTGAGACCTCAGTCCATTAGATAACAATAATCTCAAATATAAAATCCAACAATATCATTCTCACCTGAAACTTGGTAAGAGCTTCATTTAGATAGGGCCATGGTTGAGCGCCATCAGCACTCACACTTCGCCAAGAATCACCAAAACTTTTCTGATACTCATCCAGCACCTGTCCCAAGGGAAGATAGATAAATAAATTACAAATTCTCATGCCATGTCATAGGGTCATCTCAACATAACAAGTGCACTTGAAATAAAGAATCATCATAAGTATAGGATGCTCATTTGCCAAATAGCATATAAGCACCTAAATTCATTTTAAAGAATATGCTCACTTGTGATTGCAACATCTTAATCAGCATGCCACTGAGAATGCCAAAAAATCACCCATTTAGAAATTCCACACAAATGTAAGGCCCCTTGTCTTCTATCAATTAGAAAAAATTACGACGATTTTCAGTTATCATATTTGTCCATAATATTTCATCTATTAGCCGTCACAAGGCACTTGTTCCACTCACACACTTTCTCCAATACTCCCCCTTTCTCAACCCATCACTCCATTTCCCTCTCTTGCACACGCATACGAGTGTGCCCTGATGCTAGATTCTATGAAGGAAGCAAGATAGCTAAGATCGAGAAGTAAAGCGCTCTCTGACCAAATCAATTTTCTAACTGTTGCAAACTTCATTTCATTTATCTATCATTTCAAATTAACCGAAGAAAAGGTAAAAAGCGCTAACTAGGAGTGCAACTTCCTAAAGGTTCATCACTCGAGGGGGCCTCCCTTAAAATTAAACTTCATTGCCAGTACAGCAGTCCAAAAGGATGCAGCCCAAACTACAATTCAGCTCAGACAACAATGACATATACAATGAAACAAATATCTTTGTCTACTATGTGGAATAGGCTACACAGACTCTCATGTCACTGCATCTTGTCAAGAAACATTCCCTCCTTGGGATCCATAGTCCCAAGATTCATCTTTGGGGCTTTCTCGCAATCCTCTCAAGCAATTCCCAAACCCTCGGCCCACTGACCTGCTCTTGTACAATAAATCATATCCCACTAGAACTGTCCAAAGCACCTCTACTGAGTTTCCCTAATCTATCCTTCCAGTGGAGTAAAGTAACTCGGGCTCTTTTCACCATACCTAACTCAATCTTTCTTGATCTCGGCTAAATTCATTATACAGTCATGCTGATACTCGCACATCAAATATTCCATCTACCAGAGATTACTTTAATTTAGAACGGTACCTTATTTGGCTCTTGAAATTCCCAAATAATTTACGGACATGACCCTAACGCAACTCCCTCTGCCCAGTTAAGTACCGTGCACGACAATTGACAAAATCATATACCCTTTACGCACCACATAACTTCATAAGTTTGACTCATCAACCGAACATCCAAAATCCATAGGTTATTGATGCAACATGCAACAAAGAACAGTCTTTTCACCTGGTTTAGAAGCGAAAATGCACTTCGGACCGGATAGTGATCGTCCATGAAACCCAAAGAGCAGAGTCCATTTCTATTGTACGAGTGCACTTTGTACTCTGCAAAACTCAATAAACCAACTTCTGATTACATAAATGAACAAACAACTTACCCGGAACAAGAACAATTCACGTCAACAGCAAAATTTTCCGGGCTTTAATGATATATCCGCGTGAAGACCGGAAAAAATTTACAACGCACACGACTGAGCTTGTGTTGAAACTATAATGATTCTTAATACTTCGATTCAAGCTCATCCACTCGTACACAACAAATCAAGACACGAAACCGGCCCAACAAGAACTTCGATCTCGACCGAAGATACACCCGCACGAAAAACCGACACCCATCAACCCAAATTTCCGACCTTCAACCAAACAATAAGAGGCAAAGAACAGAAAAAAAAGAACCCCAGATGTCTGAGTTCCGACCCCTTTCCTAAACGCAACTCCTACAAATCCCAAAACCGCATAAAGGGTGTGGGGGGAAAAGAAAGAAAGAACAGACCTTCATGTTGGACGGACTGCCGCTGACCGGGAGGGGTGCGCTTAGCGACGGTCCGACCCACGAAGACGATGAATTCCTTGACGCTGGAGCGCTGGAAGTAGCCGAAATGGCTGACGTCGCAGGCGTTGGCGAGGATGACCGGGTCGGACCCGTCCGGGTTGATCTTCAGCACCAGTAAAGCTGTGATCTTCATGGCCTCCCTCGCTCGCTGGATCGATGGGTGGGGCTCGGAATCTCAAAGGGTCAGCGAAATCGAAATCGAAACCCCTGGATTTTTGGTGATTTTGAGGATGATGGCGATTCTTGTGCTTGCTTTTTAGGATCCGAGGAGGTTGGGGTTGGGGAGGGGGGGCCAATGATCTGGTGTGGGAGGTTGCAGGACGTTTTTGTTTATGGTGGAGTTTGATTAGCTGGCGTTGAGTTGATAGGGAGCGGGGCATTTATGTATTTTTCCTTTTTTCTCTTTTCAACTTTTTTAGGAGGTGCAAAGCTACTGAGGAAAACATCATGTATTTTTCATGACAAAGATTTTATCTGAGTTTTTCACTCAAATTTCTCGAAATTGAGCTTCAAGAATGCAATTACGATGATCATGAGGCTGCTCGAGTAAAGGAAACATTCCATCAATAGCATACATTGTGCAAGTATGTATCTATCTATATTCCTTTACAGTAAGATTTTCCCACTTTTATATGCTATGAAGTGTAGTAGCTCATATTAAAAACGTATGAATTTCTAAAATATGCAACGTGTGTTTGCGTTGGGTGTCGAAATTGTTCCATCTCTTAGACTTACATATGAGTACGGCCTTTTCTTTTTCCATAAACAAGAAGGAGTATTTTCTTTTTAAAAAAAATTTCGTGCAATAATTTCGTTAGGCATAGTCAACCAGATTTCGTGAACTTTTAATTCAACAAGTGATTTGTAGATTAAAACCACTTTCTCAAATAGTGAATGGTTCATTTGATTTCGATAATGTAAAAAATACCTTCTCGTTCTTATAGGTAATTCTAGGAAAAGTAACGAGCGTGTCGATTTGAGGTACCAATGAAAAACAGCAACAAGACACCCAAAAGAAAATGGGCCAGTGTTAAGAAAGACCATTGTGCTATTCCTTTCCACCAAGAAAGTGGAAGTAGTGGGTGCTCCTCTTTCTTCTTTGGCATATTTTGGGGGCACAAGAAAGGGGAGATTGCTTGAAGAAAAGAGAGAGAAGGAAAATAAAATATGGCATTTTTATCATTTATGTTTTCGCTAGGAGACATTTTTATCATGTTGGTGATATGGTTTCTCTTGTGGGTATCTTGTGAAACAACATAAATTAATTAAGGCAAAGGCATTATGGACCACTTGAGATTATAGATTACATATATATGAGAAACAAAGAATTTTTCTTTTGTAGCCCACAATGGTTTTTGCCAGTTTGAGAGTTGAACCGATCCTATTTGCAGAAAAGTAAGAGATACATCAATTGACTCTCATGTTTGGAAAAGATGAGAAGAGTTAAGGCTTCATTTGTTTCAAGAAAAATTGATAATTTGAAAAATATTTTTAAAAATATTAGTGTTTATATCGTTTGAAATAATTAGTTGATGAAAACTTTTTTCATTATCGATAACAATTTATGTCTAAATATTTTCGTAAATAATAAAATATTTTTCTCTCATTAATGTTTGTAAGCGATACATGCGATTATTTTTAAAATAAATATTTTTCGAATCATTCATTTTTCGTGAAACAAACGCACCTTAAATTAATGATTTTAACATTCCTAACATGGGATATTGAGGTATTGTGGTAGGTTGCGCGCCCCTGATGACATCTATTTGAATAATTAGACGAAGATTATTGCAATGTATTTAGTATGTCTACCTGCAACAAGTAAATGTACTGCAATTTCCGTAAAAACGTATGGCTGAATAATATTATCATTTACAATTGATTATGGATTTTATCGGTGAGTGTCCTTATAACATCAGTTAAAGTGCAACTGATGTGCTTTTTTTGGCCAAATTGTGGTTAATGTACTTCGAAAATGTGGCTACGTTTTTTTAACATGTTGATTTTGTTAAAGTTGTGATTGTTGGGCATTTGGTTCATCATCAAAGTCTTGATATAGCCGAGAGAAATTTTCTGTCATACGAAATTTGTACGACACAAATTCACTCTAATTATACACCAGATAGGTGGATAGTTTTCATTTTCCTAAGATAGATACTTACCAGCATTATCAATTTAACGCGGTCCATATTTTATTTAATGTTCCATCCGATGTAAATCATATAAGTTAGACCTTGATTAGTGAAAAAGAGAAATTTTACTCCCTCATTATATTGGAAAAAGCATAGAAAGAAACTTTAACATGTTGCTGTTTCTTGGTTCCTGCATTAGCAACACAAGACGGTTGACCTCGACGAGACCTCGCGACAAGACATTCTTGATGTTTGAAAAACCGTTGAGCCGTTAAAGGGTTTGAGCTGTCGAAGCCAATGCTCCCGCTTAATATGTACACCAGTCAAAAGAACAGGAGAAGAAGAGAAGAAGAAGGTCCTTATGAAACTGGTGTTCCGTTAAGAGTAAATAAATCCTGACCAGCTATTAATGCGAGAATTGTGTTGGGGAGGTTATTGAGAAAAACCTCTTTTGGGAGTAAATTCTGGTCGCCCTCTCTCTCTCTCTCTCCCTCTCTCTCTTCTCTCTCTCTCTCTCTCTCTTCTCTTCCTTCCATTACATTCCCTTGAGAGTTTCTGTGATCTTCTTTTTCTTTTCTTGTTTCCTTCTGAAACTTGAGAGGGAATGTTGGCTTTGTCCATCTGAACGTTTTAACAATGAAGTGAGTTTCGTTTCTTATTTCGTTTTTTTGTGCTTCTGATTGGTGTTTTGCTGCTTCTGTTTCAATGGGGTCAATGTCATGCAACACTTGACCATGTTATTGAAGGGTTTGCACCGTCGAATTTGGCAATGTCTGATAGAAATGAGAACTCTCGGAAGGGAAAAAAAAAAACCATCACGATTCCCGCATTTTCGTTATTGAATTGCGGCAAATTAATCTCTGTATTTCTTGTTTCGGATTTGTTGTTAATTGCAGCGGTCATTTGGTGAAATATGTACGTTCTTTTGACATGTGACAGGTTTGGAGAGATGTTTAGGTGTTTGCTTTTCTTTTCCTTGCTCATTCATTCAAGCTTAGCCCAGAAGTTTTCAGAGGGTTCAGGGACTTCAGATACTCCATCAAAGAAATGGCTGACCCTTAATGGTATTCTGACTCTCTCTTTATTTGAAGGATAGAAACAATTACCTTTAGAATAATAGAGATTTTGTAGTTTAGGTGGGTAAGATCCGGAGATTTGAGAAAGACAAAATGAGACTTATTAGTTCACTTTAGTTCCAAAAATTGCTTGCATCATAGACTGCTTCCTGTGTGGATGACCTTGAAATTCTGAGCGTGGTAACAGCAAGTATGTGTGCCTTATCCACAGGCAACGAGCCCCTTGTTATAGCTCGTGGCGGGTTCTCTGGGATCTTTCCCGATTCGAGCGAGTTCGCCGTGGACATGGCAATGACCTCAAGCATGGGCGATGTGGTCTTGTACTGCGATCTGCAGCTCACAAAGGATGGTCTAGGCATATGCCAACCGGACGTCAGGCTCGACAATACCACCAACATAGCAATGGTGTTCCCGAAAGGAGAGAAGACGTACAATGTGAATGGACAAGATTTGAAGGGCTGGTTCGCTGTGGATTACACCTCCGACGAGCTATTCAACAACGTCTCATGTAGGTCTAAGTCTTCATGTAGTATTGATGTGACATTTAAGAACAAGAGTTACCAACAGAGGACAATGAATTGAAGAGAGATAAGAAGACAACATGAATATCACTACAAAATAGGATTATTAGCCCACCTGTTTTACCTTAACTTTTCAATGTGCCCGCTTAACACTATCAGTGAAAGCAGAGGCAACTTGAATTCAGAAATATATGTTGGCACTCCGCTCATGTAGATTCAAAATCTTTCTCTGGTTTTTCCATTGTCCTAATCAACCATTCAGGTTCTCATAGAAGTCACCCGTCAAATGGAACAATGTGAATGGGCTAGAGCACGTGGTTTTTTGGCATATCATTCAGTCAATATATTCACAGATTGTCAGACCAAATAAATGAATTCACAATATTGTGAACTCAATCCAACAAAGATAGAAGCTATACCATATGCATTGAAAATATTGCATTACAGAGTTCAAAGGGGGCAAAAAGGATAGCAAAAAGGCTGTTCGAGATATCATTTGTGCTTCAAGAAAACTGATCTCTATTTTTCCATTGTATTGTTCTTCTTTCCTTCCCTGCAGTGGTTCAGAATGTTCTGTCCAGGCCGAGTTTGTTTGATGGCGCACTGTCGATTCAATTTGTCGACGATATAGTTGGACGCAAAACTGTTAACCTACTTTGGCTAAATGTTCAGGTCTCTCTCTCTCTCTCTCTCTCTCTCTCTCTCTCTCTCTCTCTCTCTGAGGTAGCTTCTTCTTTTCACAACTTGTTGATGGACGGGGAAATATATCCATTCCTTGCGACAGTATGATGGATTCTACACCGAACACAAACACAGTCCAGCATCCTATATGCAGAAAGTTGTGAGGTACTATCCTCTTGATTACCTATCATCTCCAGAGATTGGTTTCTTGAAGGCTATGCAAGGAAAAGTCAATAAAGCAAGGACAAAGCTCATATTCCGATTTCTGGCCGCGGATGCAGTTGAACCATCCACCAATCAAACATATAGTTCTATACTAAAAGACCTTGAGTCGATCAAGTCATTCGCATCTGGAATACTTGTTCCCAAGGAGTATATATTCCCAGTTGGCACAAACAATTATCTGGAAGCTCCCACCAGTCTTGTGGCGGATGCTCATAAACAGGGCCTTGAAGTATATGCTTCTGGTTTTGCAAATGACTATCCAGCAAGTTTCAACTATAGCTATGACCCAACATCGGAATACCTGCAGTTCATCGATAACTCTGAGTTTTCTGTTGACGGGGTGCTTACAGATTTCCCTCCAACAGCTTCAGAAAGCATGGGTAACAGAAAAATAACTGTCAAATTTGTATTTTTACTTGCCATAAAACTGTAGGTTTCATAAATGCATTAACTCTGCGAGCAATAAACCTGGTAGAAATGTCCTCTGAAACTCAAAGTTGCGGTTTTCTTGCAGTATGTTTTACCCAGAACAACAACAGTAGCAAGCCCATCAAAGGTAACATGTTAATCTGAATCATTCTGACATATGGTTATTCAATCAACTTCTATTTACCAAAGTGTCCCTGTGCAGGGAAAGCTTTAATCATATCTCACAATGGAGCAAGTGGAAATTATCCGGGGTGCACTGATCTAGCATACCAGCAAGCAATAGATGATGGTGCTGACATCATCGACTGCTCAGTGCAAATGTCGAAAGATGGAGTAGCCTTCTGCTTGGATTCTGCAGACCTGTCAGGAGATACCACTGCAATGCCCACTTTCATGTCTCGATCGACCGTTATCCCCGAGATCCAACAGGACAGCGGAATCTTTTCCTTTGATCTTACATGGAGCGAAATCCAGAGTTTGAAGCGTAATGTTGCCCCGTGATCTTATCCATGTAAATTGATATTGCCCACGGGTTTAATGTCTGATGAAATTGCTCACCAAAAAGCTTCCTTGTTTCAGCTCAACTTGTCAGCCCTTTTGGTAGTGATCCTGGCTTCCAGAGAGATCCAGCAAATAAGAACAAAGGCAAATTTGTCACTCTTTCAGAATTTCTGGAGCTTGCAAAGTCAAAGGCAGTATCGGGTGTTCTGATAAACATAGAGGTAAAACATGCTTTAGTTTCTTCCTTATTTTGATTCGGAGCCCTTTTCACAAGCGTGAACAAGTTTTCTCATTCCTTATCAGAATGCTGCTTACCTAGCATCAAAGAAGGGTCTTGGCATAGTAGACACTGTTTCCAAAGCCTTAAGCAACACCACATTCGACAAACAATCCACACAACAAGTCTTGATCCAATCCGATGACAGCTCCGTATTATCACAGTTCAAGAATGTCTCAACCTACAAAAGAGTGTTGACAATTGAAGAGAAAATAAGCGATGCACCAAAGCAGCCAGTAGAACAGCTTAAAAAGTACGCTGACGCAGTCACCATCACGAGGCCCTCCATCATGCCAGTTTCAAACAGCTTCCTTTTGGGCAATACAAGTGTTCTTGACGAAATGCATGCCGCAAATATCTCGGTATATGTCTCTGTTTTGAGGAACGAGTACATTTCACTCGCATTCGATTATTTTGCGGATCCTATTCTGGAGTTGGCTACTTATGTAGCAGGATTTGGAGTTGATGGAGTCATCACTGAATACCCGGCAACAGCCAACAAATACATGAGTAAGCACTGCACGAGTTAAATTCCTTTATAGGTCCAGTCAAGCACACCACATATTAAAAGTGTACGTGTCCACGCACAAGCACAGAGCGCACACTTACACACAAAAAAAGGGTGATTTAACATTAAGAAATTATTTTGGGTCTTTGACAGTTAGACCGGCCCGATTGTACTCCATACTTGAAACAATATATAGTCCCTAAACCACAGGCAAGAGGAAAACAAGAATGAACCACTCACTGTTCCATTTGTCATTGCAGGAAGTCCATGTTTTGATTTGAATGCCAAGCAAGCCATCTTACCAGTTCAGCCTGGTTCTCTTATTAGCATTATCCAAGGAGCCGAGCCACCAGCAGAAGCTCCTGCTCCAACCCTCGAAGTCTCAGACATCGTCGACCCACCTCTACCTCCTGTAGCCGCCAATCTAACCACGAACTCACCACCTGCACCTGCACCTGATGCCAAGCACTCCAGTGCACTAAAAGAAGTTGCTAATTTGGGTCTATCTCTAGCGGCTATTGGAGCACTCGGTTTACTCTTTTAGGGACATTGACACGAGGAGCTGTCCAATGGATCTGCAGGTCATCTTTCCTCTCTCATGTTTCACTTAGCTTACTCTCTTTCTCTTGATTCATTTCAGTTTGTAATATAGTAAAGAAATCTGCCATTGACTATTATCAGAAGTGAGTTATGCTAAGTGGTGTGTGATGACCATTTTGGATCCACAAGTCCTCAATGACAATCTAATTGGTGGCGATTTTGACCCCATCCAAAAAAGATTTGGCAAGTCTTTTGGCTGTGATGATTCCGAGTTCAAGATAAATATTGACTATTAAAGAGAAACGTCAATAGAATCCTCAACAGTTATTCCACTTATTTTCCAGCATTAAAAACTTTAGATTGTTAAAACAAGTATTCGTTTAAGCAAAGACATCCGAGCAGCTTCCTCTTTAAAACCAAGCAAACAATCGACGAGCAACAGAGGGGGAAAATTGTCAGCAAACAGAACAAATGAAAATCCCTGCCTTTCACAGACAGAAATGCTAAAGAAAAAAGAAGGCAAGATCATGAAATGTGACAAACTGACAATGCAAACGAATTAAGCATGAAAAGAGCAAGATGAACACTGCTTGAAATTGAAACGGAAGAATCTTTAAAAATCCAAAAACCCCAAAAACATAGTCACCCACCAGCTCCATTTCTCACCATCATTCACCACTTCATCGTCCAGAGAGGGAGAGAGAAAGAGAGAGACTCAGAGCATTACTCGAACATTTCTGAATCATTCATGCGAAGCAAGACACTCAGAAAACCCACCACTCTAACGCCAATCTGCGTGGCTGCGAAACAGCGGTTGCTCGTGAAAGGCCCAAAGATGGGAACTTTCAAGAACCCTCCGACCGGAGTCGCCAAGCCAAGAAAATTGGTGGGTGGTGCTTCCTCAAAGGCCCCGTCTTTCTCACAGTTTTCACGAATGCATCATCACAGCCTCTCTCGTATGCAGTAGACACCATGCAATAACCTTTCCAGTACATGGGGGTATGAATCTCGTTAAACAAGAACATCATCATCATCACCATCACCATCACCGCCATCGCCATCGCCATCGCCATCGTCATGGCAATAATAATAACAATAACAATAACAACAACAAGGAGGAGGAGAGGAGGGAGGCCTCATCAGAGACGCAACTCTCGCAAGAATCTGCGCAGGTCTTTGTCCGAAAGTCTCACATTTATGCTCTGTCTGACTCGATTCTTCTGACAGCCAAAATAACAATAAAGTAATTTGCTGGAAAAAACCGATCTTTACTTAAGAATGGCCAAATGCAAGAAAACCACCTATAACATACATTGGCCAACATATATTTCCCTCTTTTGGAATCAAAATTTTTCATTTTGATTTGGCTTTATTGATGTAAAGTCTTTTTATTTGCTAAAATCTCCCAATTCATGCACTTTCACTTTTCTTTAATTTAAGTCCTCGTAGGAATCCTAATTTCTAATATTAGTAAGTGTGTAAATAATTCCTCACATCGATAATACACCGAATAACAATTTTAATTTCAAGTACGTATAACTTTCGGAATATGTAAATTGTCGGTAGGTTGATCGCGCGTAATTTTTTTACAGTTTCTCAAAACCGAAAATATTGTAATTTTAACGGGAGAGAAAGGAAAAAATATTCATTGCTTATGAAAATCTTAAATAAACTCCAAGAATTCAACAATAGAAGTTTAAAAACACAAAGTTCAAGGAATTGGAACTCGTCAAGAGATCAAACTTGCGAAAATGCAAGCTGCTAAACTCATCCTACAGGCTTTGCAAGATGTCATTACAGGGAAAGCTAGACATGTCTTTTGTAATGATCAGCTTCAAGCTTAAATTACTGGATACAACAATGAATAAAGAAAAAGATCATGACTCCATACTGATCAGCAATGCGCTTTCTAATTTACAATTGCAGAAAAACCTCAATGAAGTACTCAGCTATGCAAGAAAGAGAACCAAATACATCCTCAACTCTGCTATCAAAAAATGGCTGAGAGGCTCCCAAGACATGCGGAACCGTCCTCACAAGAATTGCTCGTTGAGCGCGGGGCCGACAAATGAAGACGATAAGTATCTCGAGAAGATTTGCGTGACGGCTCATTTACAAGAAATCTGTCTGATCAATGAACTTGCACATTCCGGCTACTAGTGAACTCACATGACCTCCTTTCCAGGGTGCCGGAGCACAGTTTTGTACACAGCTTCCCCGGACGAGTTAACAAAATAAGTCACCTGCCAACGGCTACAAGCATAAGTTGGCATTTTCATAGGAAGTTCACGAAGCTAGATGGGGTAATCAATCATACAGAAAATTCCATGATGTTCCATCACCAAAATCCCCATTAAAGTAATCTATTTTCAAAATCCGAACTGGCAAAAATGTCGACTTATTCCAGCATTCTGCACTAATTCAAAAGATGTTATTCATAACATTTGATTAGAGAAAAGATTTGATTACTCACTATTTCAAGAGGGGTGACTCTGTGAAGAAGGAACCCATCGGCAAGTTCTCTGAAGAAGCAGGAAAAATCAGAGACAGAATTCATACCAAATTATAGGTGGGACAAACACAGTTGGGAAATTCAGAATAGAGACAAAAGGAGATACCTGCAAAAGACTGATGATGTTCCCTGAGATGAAGCAGAATTAGATTTTTTATATAATTGGCCAGGGTTGCCAATGTAGCTAACACCGCCTTGGGGAACACGATCCATGCCAGCCCTTCCACTTAAGTATGCATTCTGGGAAGACATGTCTGATTCAACTTCTTTACTCAAGAAGGATTCATGTGATTCATAGTTCATTCACAAGGAGGCAAGAAAAACAAGAGAGATTACCACTCCATAAGTGGAAAAGACGCTCCTCAAAGGGTCAAGATCTGCCTTTGCTTCAAATAGACCCTTACTTTCTTGGCAGGAAGTCAGAGGAAGAAATCCTGCGATTATGCGCCTGAGTTCACAGATAGGAAAAAGCCACGTTGGTTGTAAGGGAAACACTTTCATTCTTTTGACAGACAAGCCAAAACTGATGGATAAATGAGGTAGGTCCCCACATATAATCAGGTAATACAAACACGAGAATTCACGAACAATTTACAGCCGAGGTATCCCAAGACTACAGTATTCAGAAAAGCTCAGAGAAGTCATAATTTGTTAGACAAAGAAACTTGCGTGAATTCTTGGAAAATAAACATTGTGACTCGGTACAATGCCAACTGTTATGCTTACACAAAGGAAAATAAAGGACACCAAAAGTTGAATCCTTCAAACTTACCATTCACCAGTTGTTTCCTCTAGGATCCTCGTGAGCCATTTAAGTTGCTCCTCTCCAAGCCCCTCTGATGATCCCATCATCACAGAACCCTGGAGATTCAGAAATATAGGGTTCACTTCATATGGTTCCCATTTGTGCTCCAGCTACATCACCAGTCGAGCAAAAACAGGTGGAAGTACATGAAAGTAGGCAATTTGGCATACAATATGATGCCCTAGAGTGAGAGTATATCTAAGTCGATGGGAGGAGTATGAGTTTGGTATTGATGCGTATATTGCTCTATCAGATAATGAGCTAGAGTGAAGGAGTTCCCAGGTAGGAAAGCAAAGATGGAAGGTCAAACTGATTGGAGGTATACCAATTAAAGATTCGTCCTTCTTATTTTGACTTCAAAGATCTAGGGTAGTGTCAGGTGACAGAGAATGGGTTCTACCAATCCAAATATTCAAAACAAGATGCCTTTGATCATTGGCCATTAGTCCTATTTTCAAGATGACTAGCTTTCCCAGCCTGCTCTCTCAATTACAATAGTTCCTGCAATAATCCTTTATCAGTATGCATTACAGAAAACCAAAAGCCCCACATCCACCACATGTAATTTTTTTCCTCTAAAAAATACCATACTAAACACCATACATGCAACTATATTCAAGAGCAAAAGAGGTTTCCTACCTTACACAGTAAACGCATGCTGACACTCAGCCACAATACAGGTAACAAGCTAATAGACGCATTTTTCTCTAAAAGAATTAGGATAAGAAAAAGGATGCATATACCATGGAGAAAAATGAATCACTGGACAGATATTAAGAGGTGTCTTTTGACATATGACAACATACCTTAAAAAGGCCAGTATCTAAACCAATTAAGTCTAAGATTTTCCCACAAGGAATTTTCATCTGCTCTCTGAAATAACTTCTTCCTCCTTTTGAAGCTTTAGTGGTGTACCTACAGTGTCACTATTCTGGATTACCTAACAATTTGGCTGAATAAAAACCAATCAATACCCAAATATAATAACAGGATCTAAAATGTCCAAGAAATATTATACATATTCAATCCCAAAGACAGCAAATAGGAAGAAAAATGGTATACCATGGAATTTTCAGCGATTGGTAATTTTGTGTACCCTGCCAAAAGAGAATGTTAAATTTCCATTGATGGTTGCAGAATCTTACTCCCAACAAACATCAAATCAATCTGGAGAAATTAAAAGTATTTGTGCCGCAAATATTACTTCAAAGTTAAACTAAAGCAAAGCAAAACAGCTCCACTGCTATCTTTCTTCTAAAGGACAAAAACTTAAAGCTATTTCAACTGGTAAGATAACCCTTCTAACGTCAATCTCTAAGCCAGCAAGCTTTTCCATGTGGACATGTGCACAGTGCACTCAATTTAAAGCTTTTCAAGTAAAAAAGAACTGGAATTGTACACAATAAGCAAGAGGGAGCTGTTAAGTTTCAAACAGGAGGTAGAATTGGTTTATACTCTTACATTCTGCATAAGCGGGTCATCTTCACCAAGTTCGCTGATGTTGATAACAAATGCTGCGTCATATGTCCTTGACACCTTCTCCATCTTCATTAGAACCCCAAGAAAACACCGGGTCAGTAACCCCGCATTCACAAAGATAAAGCAAGAGCCACCATCAATTCCTGATCTCTCTATCCCTACTTAGACAATGCACGCAAAGTATAACTTGCAAGTCCAGTTCTTAATATCCATATTCGTACTGTCTAACTGCAAGTATGGGATTGAGAGAGAGATAACCAATACTGGGAAAGATTGCAGAAATCAATTTACAGATGCGAAAGGAACCAAGAACACACCGTAGTGATCCCTGAGAGCACCTATAAACGAAACGCTAAAATGGGAAACCCAGCATCCAGTTCCACAATTTAAAAGAGAAGGACACACTGCTGGATCAACCTCGCAAAATAACATCTTCCCGATAGCATTGAACGGTGCACCAACATAAAGTCAGAAAATTCACCAGTTTTAAGAGCCGCGTCTGCTCATTGGGCGCTCTAAATCCACCCCGGACAGTGACGAAGTAAGAATCAAGAAATCCACCACCGCTTCTGATGACACTCTTGGTGGTATAACCCCCGCGTTCCCGAGACTGGCCCAAGTTCAGAGCAAAATAGAGGGCGATGCAGAGACACACCTGAGTAAAAACGGTGCACACCCAAGACCTCTTCCCCATAATCACGCCCCAGAGGAAAAAAACAAGAAGAGCAAGAACAAGAAAACTCTCTCTTGAGGGGGAAGCTGTCAATCCAAGTTCGACCCCTGTTTCTGCTCTGCAGGTGCCCCGGGTTTTGACTCCCAACAACAGTAGATCTGAGAGCGCATCTGGAAATGTGAAGGGGAAGGGGAGGCACCTCAAGGCGAAGGTTCGCACATGATGTTGATGTCGCCGAATCAAGAAACGTAGTAGGGACTCTGTCAGGCGTGGGGGCCAAAAACATCGCCATCTTGATGGTGGGTTTTCTTCGTTCGGGTCTCCCTCTCCGTCCAAGGACAACAACGTTGTCACCCAATCTTGCACGCCTTCGTTGTGCTGCGCTGTACATTTCGCATTGGTTTTCCTTGGCTGGAAAAATTGGAACTTGTTCAATTTTTTTTTAAAATTCTTCTGACATCAATGCTTTTGTTGTAAAATCCACCCATCGGTGGCCGCGTTGGTTTGCATTCAGTTCCTTTCACGAGAAGTCCTGGGTTCAAATTCGTCCATCGGTGATTTAAGTGAGGGTCGTGGCGGTGGGATCTTTGCGCTTAGCCCCTCGAGGACTAGTCGGGCATCATCCACGGTTTGAGCCCTAGCTCGCCGGCCGCGCGGATACCTCGGTTATAAAAAAAAAAAATGCTTTTGTTGTAGCGAGATAAAGCTGAACATTACTCGTGGCGTGTTTGTTGAAATATTTGAGCACAGGCGAAAAAGTAGTTTTTTTTTGTTTGTTTGTATTCAAAAAAAAAAATTAATACCACATAAATCCATAACAAATTTACCTCAAATTAATTATTTAATCGTCAAAAATCTCAAACTTGTACATGTGATAAATTTACCCTCCGTTAATTTTCATTAAATTTCACCGTCAAATTGCGACAATTGACGAGTGTACCAATTGGGGGTTTGCAAGTTTACCAATTTGTGATATTTCGTGATATTAATCGAATTCAACGGAGGGTAAATTTGTCACAAGTGTACCAATTTGGAGTTTTTGGTGATCAAAAATTAATTTTTGGTAAATTTATCACATATGTACCAATTTAGGGTTTTTCGTGGTATTGACCCAAAAAAATAATTGACATTTTAAAACATCATGAAAGAACTATATTTAATCCATGTGTCAATTTACTTGGTGTGTGAAAGTCTCGATTGTTTCGAATTAAAACAAGGACAAAAGACATCGAAAATTATAAACTATGTCCATTGTAAACTAAGTCTCGATTGTTTTGTCGTCCATATAGGTAGATTTTTCACGGTGCTTATTGACGGAACCTTGATTGAGGCATATATATAAGTTCGGGAATTCTTGTGTCACAAAAAAAAAAGAGTCTAGGGTAAATGTGTCACAATGGGTATAGTTTGGAGTTTTTTATGGCTTTTTCCCTTAGACTCCGTCTGTTTCGAGGAACATAAATTATTTGGAAAACATTTTCATAAAAGCAATCGCTTATATCGTTTGAAATAATTAATTAATGGAAAAAATTTTCATAATCAAAATAATTTGTGTCAAATATTTTCGTGAACAATAAAAATATTTATCGTTCATTCATTTTTGTAGACGATACAAGCAATCGTCTTTTGATAAATGTTTTGCAAGTCATTCATTCTCCGCCAAACAAATGGAGCCAAACAAAGTGCGTGTATCGAAAAATTTAAATAAGGTAAAAGGCAAAAATCAATCCAAACATACCCTTTGTATTATTTATGGTGCAGATCAGTTTTGACGTATTATATGTATGGCAATGGCCTGGTGGTCCCGTTTTTACACGACATGCAAAAACTATCGAGCTTATTAGAGTACTACAAGTTTTGCATTTTAACAAATATAATGTTTTTTTTCCAAAACAAAAGAAATAAAAATTCCTAATGACCCGAGGTTAGTTTTTACACTTTTGATCTCAGTTTAATCACCTTGATGCGAGAGATAATGATTCCCCCTAAAATAAAGTGTCTCGATCTCAATTCTAACGGGAAAACAGACCTTTCGATGGGCACCAAAAGCGTATGACTAAGAAATAAAAGGCCTTAATGGTTGAATTGAAAACGCACTGTCTTGATGCATATGATGATGGACACATAGAACCCACGAATCTATTGCATGAAAAATATCCTTGTCAACATCTAAAACGGCTGGCTCCAATTTGCTAATTTTGATCATCGTCACACAAAGAAACAGCAGATGCACCGTGGAAAATTTCCAGCGGTCAGTTTTATGACAGCGAAATTTGGACCTCAGAGAAATGGTTGTATTTTAAACATGTGAACTAATAGAGATTGACGGTTTTTTATACGTTGTATATATACTTTTCAAAACCTCTAAAGAAAGGAAACTCAAAAAATGAAACCGAAGAGCTCTGTCGTTAACACCGGACGAAATATCGTGGGAGCAACGATTTGTTCTAAAAGTTTAAGTTCTTGAAAAAAAAAAGGGCATGAGCTATTTTTTTGTTTAATAATTTGGAAGTATACAAAACAGCAGCGTATAAGCAGAGCCCGACTAGTCGATTTCCAGGAAACTGAAGAAACTTTCAGTTTGTCCCACTTGGACATGATCATGTCTCGCATTAAGCCTGTCGAAAAGGCTATGACTTTCTGGGAAAATGGTCATGCCTTTCCCTTCCAAGTGACGGAATAAAATAAATTTAATTGCTTGCAAATTTAAAATGTTATCTTATTTGATGTCAGGGTATGATTGTTCTTGTTTCTATCTGCTACATTGCTTCCATTTTATAGACAACGCAGATTACACTGCCGGGCATTCCCAGGGACAGGACTTCACACGGATTGTTCACCATATCACCAACTATGATTGTGCTGATATATAGTCATTGAAGTTACTAAAGTACTTCATAAGTAAATGTAAATGGAAAATTAAATGGCCATCCAAGATCAGTGAGCGAATGTGACTCTTGAGGGTCTTTGAGGGACCGACTCTCGAGTGAGAGTGAAAGCGCAAGCAAACTTTGCTTCCCATGCTGCTTTCTCCTCCAATTCATTACATGCCTTATGACCCAGTCAACACATAATTATTCTCATATAAAAGCTTAAACAGTAGTCTAACAGTAACAATGCTCCATTCAACTGAACTCAACATTTCAGAAAAAAAAAAACCTTTGAGGACGTGCTGAATAAGCAAACTCAACCGGCCATGCATTTCTTATGCTCCAAGAGAAACAATGATCATTTACCAACATGTCTCACATTCAATCGAACCTATATCGATTAAATAGCCAAGGCATGCCCTGAGGAAGTTGTTACATTTCCCCAAGTAGAATCCATACTATGCAATACTTAGACTAGAACTACAAAACCATAATCACGAGAAGAGTGCACTCTGCATATTTCAGGATCAGATTTTGCACGAGGGATGTGGCATTTATAACGACCAAAAACAGGCTTATGATGGTCATTCAGATACGATCAATATCATATAATCCATGAATAGTTTTTCCTAGCAAGGACTATGAAATATCTGCTCGGCCAAGCATATCTGTCAACGTCATCCGTCTCGGGAACCTGGGAGGCAGCCTCAAGACCATGGCATCCTCAATCTGAATTGGTAGATGCGTAGCCACAATTACTATTCCGCCCTTCTTCCGGTGCTCCGCAATTATATACTCCAGCAACTTCACACCATCATCATCTAACGCAACAGATGGCTCATCAAGTAACCAAATGGGACGGTCAATAGCGAGCAGCCTGGCCAGCTGCAGCCTCTTCCTTTGACCCATTGAAAGCATTCTGGCTTTATCTTTTGCCAATCTTCCAAGCCCCATAAGCTCCAGGGCCGGCAGAGACTTTCCTTGCTTCCCTTCAAGCAATTCAAACCACTGAACATTGTCGAGGACAGTGAATTTCTCTTTTATAGCATCTTTGAGGGAAAGCCAATTGAGCTGCAACTTGTATTGGTGGAAAATGCCAGATTGCGTGACATCGTGGCCGTTCCAGAGGATCTGACCAGCAGAAGGACGAGAAAACCCTGCTAACATACGCAGGAATGTGGTTTTGCCCGAGCCATTGGCTCCGGTCAGCACAAGAGCTCCACCATCATGAAGAGAGACGTTCGCATGACGCAAGATCTGTTGCGCATTTCTCATGCAAGAAACATTGTCAAGAAGGAGCCGAGGCAATGGAGGTCTTCGGAGGGTCATTGAGGTACATGGACCGGCCAATAACTGTTGGAATTTGCAGAAGAATTGAAGAACAGCCTAAATCCTTATTCAAACAAGCACTTGTGCAAGATGTTAAATGACTACCGACGAGAATACAGCAAGTCTCTGAACATATTGCACCACTGCAAGTCCTGCATCTGGAAACACACTCCAAAGAATTCAGAAATTAAGTGAACAAATGCATAACAATCTCGAAGGACATACTACATTTGAGAATTCTGGGTCCACCAAACCTTTACTTTTAAAGAAAAGGTGTTCAGCTATTAATCAGTTACAAAAAAAAGCATCGTCCAAAATACAGATCAAAGGAGAAAATATCTTTGTCAACTTCAAATAACAATCAATATTCTTGAATGATGAACAATCAAAGTGAAAAAAAAAATTACCCATGAGTTACAAATTGTATAGAAGAAGCAACAATATGCCCTTCGCACATGAATTTGAAATCAACAACCTACTGGCTGTCATATCACTTGTCGTGCAACACATTCTCCTGAGCCTCCCAAATGTGTACCACCAAAACACATCACCACCATTGACCTTGTCTCAGGCAACTATAAAGACGTCAAAGAAGAGTAAAAACCAAAGAGCTAGCTATACAAACAATACCCAATTGCTCAAAAAAGGGGACCCCTTCATTTCCTACTTTGGCTCTGACAAACTCACAAACAGGTGGTGCGCAGAATTCGCAAAACTCATCCCGGGAGCAACAGGTCCCAGAAAAGGTGTCCTCGTAGGGACCATTTAACTGAGATTTTTGCTCCTGAGGGGAATAAGCTGTGATTTAACGAAGAAAAATGAAAGCTTTCGCAGAGCACAACAAGTCGACACCGAGAAGAAGAAGAGGAAAAGAGAATGACCTGCAAATCTAGTACATTATAGGATGGTCTTGCGTAGAATTGTATCCTCTCGTCGACGCTGGAAAGAGAAAGGAGAAGAAGATCGGGGGTCAAAAACCATGAGAAATTGGAGCTCACAGCTTCGACCCGATGACGCCATTAACGAGCGCAAAAATCTTAAGAGAGCGAGGAATCACCGGCGAAGCAATTTGAACATCAAAGGCTTGGACGTCTGTGGGCTTTTGAATAATTGGGTATCCATTCGTGGGTCAATATCCCGAACTTCAATGCGCTCTGTGAATTTTAATCCAATATTGAATATGGTTAATATGATCCCCAGACTATATGAAAATATTCAATGTCATCCTTCCATTAATTCAAGTTCATGGACAATATTGAACATTATCATGTAGTCCAAGGACTAAATTGAACATGTATCAAATGTTCATGAATCATATTGAACAAATTGAAAATTCAAGGATGACATTGCACATTAAACTAAACTTTAGGGATCACATTGAATAAGTTAAAAGTTCAAAAATCACATTGCACGTTTAATCAAAGTTTGAAGATTATTTGTGCCATTTTCCCTTTCTTTTCTCTTTTCACATTAAAGATGTTGGGTTGTAACTGTCTTCAAAAGCAAACAGTTCTGCTCAACGTGGGTTTTGTCAGGATTTGAAATTTTCAGAATGTACGCCATTTGCTTATGGCTTCTGCACCAGATCCACGTCGAGCCCAGACCCTCAAGCACTGCCTTTTAAGAGTTCATCACTCAACGCAATCGTCAGAATAAAATGGCCTCAAAACCTTTCAGAAGAACTACCGCTCAATTGCATCAAGGGGATGACCTTGCTTGACGTATGGTGTTCATTTTACCAGGGACAAACTAGGGTGCTGCAGACTGGCAAAATGGATCAGTCAGTCATGACTCGGTAAGCAGAAATTGCAGCCAAAACTCTCCTATTTTTACGAGCTTTCATAAGACAGTCCCAAGGACACAATGTGAAAGGGGCCAAAGAAGAATTGTATTTTCGATTTCAGAAAGCTAGCACCCAATTATATCCAGATAGCCAAATCTGCATCCGGACAGGGAATGCAACTTTCTCTTTCTTGAGCAAGAGACGGGCAACATTTATCTTGCCGTCGGCTTCTGCTAACATTCAGATCAACAAGAACACGGAGGAACTCTTCTGACAATAAACTTGTCAATCTCACTTCTCAAAATTCATTTCTTTCGCAATCCTAGAAAACTCAAAAAAGGGAAGGGAAAATGTTTAATATGCTCGTAACGATACATGAACTCTAGTAAAAAAAGTGTATTATTGGCCGACATCCATCTGCACGAATCGTCTACTCCCCTGCTGGTGCGATGCGACGATTCTACTTTGATCTGTTTTTGCCGCCAGACAGCTTCATTGCCTCCAGTTGCTCCAAGACAACACATTTTCCAGAAGCCACCAATAAGTCAGTTTCTTGCCTCCAACGTAACCAGTGCCCAGCGCCGGCTGCGTCCAGCTCCATATGGGGTACCACGAGGCATTGCAAATGAGCCCCGCAATATACTCGCAATCCGCAATAAGAGACGCAAGATGCTTCTAGAAGCAGAGCAATTACACGCCACCATCATATATAGTTTCAATGCTACATTTTCTGTATATACAACAAACTAAATGTATATGATGGCTGCATGATTACAAGAGTACATAAATAAAGCATAGGTACCCCAGAAGTCATGGAGAAGCCAATTTGCTGCTGCAAGGGATGCTATGACCTTCAGGGTCTTATAACAAAGAATCAGGCGAAGCAGAACTTCCCCCGCTACAAGAAAGGCAGTACGCATAAATATGCAGAATCTCTCTCTTAACATATTTAGTTACTGGTCCACCTCCTCTTGCGAGCTGGGCGCTCTTGCTTGATCTCTGGATCCACAGGTGTCTCGCCTTTGGTGGAGACTATCGCTTCACTCTCCATCTTCTTTATTGACGAGGCTTCTTTTTCAATGGGCATAGGAAGCTTGAATCGCTCACTGCGCTTCTTCAACTTCTCCACTGTATCTAAATGACGATCATTTAACGGCTTTGTATCAGCATCCTTTTTCTCCACATCACCCAAATCGTTATCCTCAGCCAAGAAATGGTGCTTGTCAACTTCCTCAGACCTCTTAACAGATTCAGGAAGTTTGCTGGCCTCAGAAGATACAATATTGTTGTTGCTCCTTCCAACCTCTTTAAATCTCAAGGAAGACGATGACTTGCTATTGATACTGTAATCCCTCTCTGTATGGCTTGTCCAGCGTTCCAACTTGGAGCGTCCTCTTCTGGATTCTGATTGCTCATCCTCCGACGACATATCTTCTCTCATTTCTCTTGAAGAATGAAACTGTTGCATGGTTCCAGGATCAGCAGTTCCCTGCTCAGCCAAACCCTTAGAGCCCTAAATGAAGGAATGACAATCATGAAAACCATGCTCGACTTTTACCAGGGTCTGCTAATGATCAACCAGTCAGGTGGAACAAGGAACAGAAGAACCAATTGCAGCTGAACTGATACCCAAATCTTTGCGACTTCTTATAGGTTAGAATGAACTTTCATCCATGATTATGAACACACTTAGAAGAAATCAAGTAGCAATAAGAATGAGAGAATCATGCAGGATTTACAAGATACACTGACAAAGCAGTAATCCGAGTTTACCAGGAATAAGTCACAAATCCACAATCTATTTTCAAGGACAAAATTACACTTGCAGAGTAACAATGTTCTATCTCTAGTACCCAAAAGCATTTGCAGCTGATAGAACACAGAAAATTACTTGAGACACTCAACAAGTAAACAGCAAGACAGGGTGCATAATAACAAGAAAAACAGAGTAGAAGAACAAAAAGAAGCAATGGATAAATTTCTTTCAAACTCATTTATTGAGTTCAACAATAAAATTACATGTTCCCTTTATTTTGATCTTCTTCAGAACTAGTGGATATATGAAGCGACACCATATCATTATATCAAGCGGACTGTTTCTTGAAACTATATCCTCTTGCTTTATGAGGTGCCGAGCCCCACTAAGTGGCATTTGATTATTTAGGTGACAATTTTCAATTCTCAGGGACACATTTCCAATAGAGATGAAGGATAGGAATAAGAAGACAATATAGAAAGAGAAAGGAAGAACGGCAGAAAAAGGATTGTTAGAAAATTTTAGAAACCGGTCGATGTCCCCCCCCCCCCCCCCTTCTTTTTCCTGCTCCTCCTCTGATCAGAAATTTATAATGGATGCATATGTATGCATGTATATATTTGAATAATACGTAAACATCAACTTTTTATACACAAACATACTTAAACGTCTGTGGGAACTAAGAACAATAACAGCACTCACTCCCCCAGAGAAAGAAAAGGACAATGGTGACAAAGAAAAAGACTACAGAAAAGATGAGAAACCCTCTGAGAGACATCATTGACTCTCCAGGAACCATCTCCCACCTCATAGAGTCTACCCATGATGCATTCATTGAGGAGCACTCAAGCTCATGCAGTCCCTAAGTAACAGCTAAGGAGTCAGGTGGAATGGGGATATGTCATGGGTCTGAGGTTCAAAACTCCATACCAGCAGAGCCACCAATAATATTGAGTGAAAACTGAAATGAACTAGTATCATTTAGTTATTATTAGGCAGAAAAGTCGTCCTTGATTTTTGAGATTGTACAATCCCTAATCTGAGTTAGACTGTCTAGAATCTAGAACATACCATTTGACTAACATGATCGTCCTGATTTCTCTTGGAAGTATGATGATCGCCTCCCTCAGGTTCCTTGTTCTTCCTATGGCTGTGTTTTTTCTCATGCATCCTTTGATTATCTGAGACACTAGCAGGTTTATCACTACGGGTGCTTGATTTCTCAAATCTGGATCTTCTTTCTTCATTCTTGATCTGATTACTGCGTGCAGGGACCTCCTCATGACCACGATACTGCAAGAAACTTTCATCTTCTTGATGTTCCCTCCTCTTAGCATGTTCATTCTGTCGAGCTGTGTCCTTAAACTGGTAATCTCTACCCGAAGCCCTATGATCATCCTTCGGCCTATCTTGGCCAGCCCATGCTTTCTCCTCTCCTCCACGTCCACCCCTTATAGCAGCCCTTTCTTCTTCTCTTTCCCTTTTTAAACGATTCTCTTCATGAACTTGCTTGGCTTTAGGCCATTCTTCTCTATCCCTCTGCTTCTCAATCTTTTCCCTCTGCGACCAGCTCTCATCCTTATGTCTAGAAGAGTGGTGGTCATCCATACTATCTCTAACTCTAGACTGGTCCTCTCTCTGCCTCTGATCATTAATGTCATCCCTGTCTCGCTTTCGACGACCAGAACTATCTCTTTGATCACGCAGGATCTCTTCTTTGTCAATGTGGTCTCGCTCTCGTGGAAAATATTCATCTGCCTTTTTCCTCTTGCTACGGTATTCATCTGCGACTTCATATCTGCTCCTTAAAGAATCATCTCTTTCCCTGCCTCGTAAAGCTACTTCCTTGTCATAGTTAACTTTGTAAATGCCATTGTCCAGCTGTTTTTTGGACGAGTGATAATCCTCTTTGTCATTCCTCTCAGTTTCTCGACCTCTGCTCCTGTGTCTGGAGCCTATTTCATCACTACGCTCCCTCTTCCTTGAATCTTCGAGTCTGAGCCTTCTGGAACTAGGCTCATCATCTCTCAGTCTCCTTGCTCCATCAGAGTACTCCCTCTCCTTTCGCCTATCAAAATTATCAGACTTCGCGGGCAAATTATGAACCAAACTAGGATCCCTATCTCTATAAGGATCCACTTTATCTTTAACAACTGTTCGGCCTCTTTCCGTTTCTTGTCTCCTATCATGATCTTTTCTTCGAAACTTTTGTTCATTTTCATCAAGGTGCCTCCTTGAACCTCCCATATGGGTGGGAAGACCAACTTGCACAACTTCCTCCTCTGTACCATCACGCCACTTCTGACTATCTCTGCTGCTTCCTGATCTTGCTTTGCTGTTTTCACTACTTCTTGCAGCTCTAGAATCCTCCCCCTCATCAAATTCATTGAGAACAACTTGCTCACCCCTAGAATTAAACTTGTCTTTCTTTCTAGGATGAAGCAACTTTTCACCAGCCTTGCTTGCATCTGAAGGTACTTCATTTCTCTCCAGCTCAGAGCTTCTGTCACCGGGCAAAGACTTACCAGCAAGTGCATCTTTGTGATCCATGCTGGACACATGAAGAGTCTCTTCACTCTCCACACTATCAACCATCTGTGCCCCTTGATCTTCAGTAGCCTTTTTATCCTCTGTACTGTGATAAGGAGACATATTTGGGGACTGGTCACGTGCTCTACCTTCCATATGCCTGCATTTTGAAACAAAGAAAGATTTGTACATATAAATTGTGTGATAAACTGCTACTAAAATGATCCGGTGTAAGAACAATAGAATTTTTTACCAAACAGCAATGTAATCTGTTCGCACAATATACTCTAGCAAAAAGTTCATAGAGAAGCTTGTAAAACATTACAGAGACACAGGCATAATTTACATCCTCATTCCTCCTAACAGACATAAACTTGTGTCCACACAACCGTATATGCTCAGAATATAAAAAGCAAAGTGTGGTTACTTACAGGAAATATTCTAATTTTCTTCTGATTTCATGCTCAGGGAAAATTAGGGCCACGTATGAATTTTTTTTACCTTTCACTCTTTTACTTAATCTAAAATTTGCGGGGCATGCACTTCGATTCTTTTTTAACACCAAATACCTTAAGCTTTCACAACATACAACTATTGACACGTATATTATGTAATCTTTTTAAATTCGAACAATAATTTTGTTTTTCATGGGAAAGTTAAAAGTTGCCTTTTGCTTTTGATCAATCAAAAACAAAAACGCCTTAGAAACTAATAAGCCCCAATGATGGTCCATTCCCAAAGACACAAGGTCCAGAGTTCAAATCTCACCTTCTTCCTCCTCCTAATTGCGTGAAAGAGGAGTAGTAAACAAGTTATATTTAAAGACATGCAATATCATTCTATTTGAGCGTGCCCAGTTTTTTGCCTCCACGGTCCAAATTGAACTGAAAACCAGGTGATGATTTGGGCCCAACTATTTATTCTTCCACAGACCAAAATTCGACTAACTTGAAATTTTTTGTTTCAGTCAATTTGGTTAAGTTTGTCGGTTCACTGGTTTCCATTTTGCATATAATAGTAAAGAAGGTCGTTTAATTCTTATTCTTGATTATCAGAAAAGATTTATACCGCTCATTATGAGTGATAGCAGCCTTCCTATTGGGATATCCAGAAGTCTGTTCACTAGAGGATGGATGATGTTGAACTGATCCTTCGCAACCTAAGGGTGAACTTTCTTCTCCTCCAGGAAGATCATCCTGACCAGATTCAACGATCTGAGCTTTTCCGACCACCTCTCTATTTTGGTCGCTATAAGTTTCAGAGTAACGGTCAAAATAATCAGCTTCTTCCCGAGCAACACGGTCCTCTGCCTTTTCTACTCCTCTAAGATCCTCATTTGTAGGATCATTATTATCCACTCTGTCTGTAGGCCCATTTTCAGTAGAGGAATCATCATCAACAGAATCCTGGCAGACAATCTGTATATCCAAATTCATGAAAGAACCCATAAAAAATATGAGGACCATGTAAGAGCAAGATCAACATAAAACTTCACCAGCAGATACTTTTACCTCAATAATTGCATCAGAATCACGAATTCGTGGAGGTCGGGTATCTATGGATGGAAGGCGTTCACCGTAACCACTTTCGACCTGAATTGCTCGCCCAGTTGGCTGGATGAGAAATAAGTAAGTTGAGTTCAAGAGCATGGGTCTTTATGTAGTGTTGATGACATCATTAACAGGGAATTCAGGAACTCATTAAATTTTATCAGATTTAATAATATGATACACCTCAAATACGGACATTGAATACCTACTCAACAATGACAGCTAATTTCACCTGAGGATATCCAGCAACATATTGCAGAATGAAATAGGACAAAAGGAGGTGCGAACCCATATACAAAAAGAGCACAAGAACCAAGAAAAGAGCTCGGTTATAAGACAGAATCTAGAAGGAAGGATAATTGTGAAGGATGTGAAGGATATCTGATAGCTCATTAGTTAAATTCAACTTGTCTAAGCACTAAGGCTTCATGCATTAAAATATCTTTTTGCTTCCAATCATAACTGCTCCAATAACAAGGCCTCAATCTAGAAAAGGACTCTACGACTCTACTTTTCTTTGGTATAAGTAAACAAATCCGCCATTGATGAAAGTGAGAAATTAGAGATGCAGTGGGGTAAAGAAAAGGTCTATTGAGGTAATGGGATCTCCAAATTAGACTCTGCTGATTTCTTAAGTACAATGGAAATCAAGATCAAGAGTTCTCATGACTCCTGGAGCCCGAAAGTTCAGCAATAAGATGACGACCTAAAAGAATGCAAGCTAAAGAATAAGTTCAAAAGCAGAGACATACTAATGATGGCCGCACATGAGCAGATGCTTTACTACCACTTTGTCCAGCATCCAACTTCCCATTAGTCATATTTTCAGCTGTAATATCATGAATTCCTGATGCTGCTGCTAGTTCTGGAGGTAAATCGGGATCAAACTCCTAAAAAAGTGAGAGCAAAATATATGAAGATCCATTTTCCAAATACATTTGAACTATGTATATACAAGGCAGATCATTGAGATGAAAAAATTTTAATAGGTTCCATTTGCAAAACTACCCAGTAAGAAGATTTACAAACCCAGCATTACCTGCTTTTTTCGACCACTCTCATAAACATGAATTTTGCTTTGCATGGTAGATTCAAGTCGCAAAGTCTCCTGCATAATATTTATAAAGTCATAAATCTATTCATCTACTCACAACTGATTCAAGGATCATACTTACCAGCTGCTTGCAATATTCCTTCCAGCTCTCCTCATTCAGACTAAAGTTGAAAAAGTCTGTACTATCAACACCAGGGTATCTCCATGGTTTTTCCTCGAAACTATCAATATCAACCTCAAAAATAGTCCTGAAATTGTTCACAGGATTGAGAAGAGCTTTATGAGTTCAATAAGAATTCAAGCAATCTTGCCATACAGGAAACACAAGTTTGTCTTCTATAGTTATAAATCTTGAAAGAAATATATCCAGCGATAAAGTCAAATTGCCCACAAAACACGGAAAACAAATTATGAGCATGTAAGTGTGAATTGGGACGGTTGGCACACTAGTAGTACTTTTGCTTTATCAATGATGCAAGTAATGCACAGGCACTAAGTAAGCATCAAAGGAAAGCAGAAGCTGGTATGCGCAAAATTCAAGCATCTGGTATCAAACCGGGGATCTCCATAAAAGCAAGAACCAATTAGGAATCACCATTAGGGAATGAAAAGGTGAAGAAAATTGTTACAGGACTTATTAGTCTAGTTTTCTAACAAGCATGTTGGTAGATGAGGAACACATCACAGATCGAAGACTGCACATAAGAAAGCAAACATTTCGCAAAATCAAAAATTCCACCTCCATTAAAAAAATTATTGCAAAATATAATATATGTGTGTGTGTGTGTCGCGGGCGATATATCCATTAACTTTAACTTTCATAGGTAACACAACATTAATATTAAAAAGGCACTAGAAGAGAGTAGCAACAACATACGAAAAAGCCTATGTAATAGCTACTAGAATCATTCACAGTAACAAAACTGGAGAAGAGAGATTACTTGTGTGATGGAAGTGAAAATTCCAGTCCACCCCCATAACCTCGTCCAGAGCCCCAGGGAGTCGTTCCTGGGTGATAATTTTTCTGCAAAGACGAAGCATTTTTCATCCCTGCAAGTCGCCAGTCACCTCTACCACGACCAGCTAAAGGGCCCATGGCAACAGGTGGACGAACTTGACCTGGTGCTCCAATTGGAGCAGCAACACTTGATCCAGGCATAGGTGAAGCACCGGGCCTGACATACTACAAGTACACAGAAACAGACAATAAGGCCAATGAACAAGCACCAAACCTGAAGAAAAGGGCTAGCACACGAGTGAATGGCTTTAAGTAAGTAACACTCCCCCAGAAAGCACAATAGGCCAAGAAACCAAAGAACAGCAATCCAGATAAGGCGCGATATAATTGACAAAGATGAAGGCAAACTGCTATACACATCCTGCCAACATCATGCTGGAAGAACCATAAAAAACATTAATATGACAAATACAAATTCTAAGAATAGTTACTCTAATCATGTTAACAAGGCAAGACATCATACGAAGTTCGTCAGGCCAGCATGAAATTCAACCTTTGTTAGAATAGAAGGAAGAAGGAAAAGTAGTAAACGACTGAATTCTATGATCCAGCACACAAGCATGTTATGTTAACCGTGTAAAAAGAATAGTCGGACAAAGATGACAACAAACAGGTTCAACCACCTCAAAGACATGTAACGGCAACCATTTTCTGTATCCATGTGCCATGTCGTTCATAGAACCTCTAACCTAAACAGTATTTTAACTTGAAGATCTATTATCAGTCTAGTTGGACAGGAGGCCAGCCATCATGGCATCCAGATTGTTATTGTGGAGAAGCAACAGCTTATCATAAGGCTTGAATGAACGCAAAAGAGTGGAAAATAGGAAAAAAATGTCTGTCCAGCTAAAAAATCTGCAGGAACCTATAAATGAAACATTTACAAGATAATGGATTATCATTATGTTTCTGATGGCAATTAGGAACTGAACCGCATTGACTCTAACAATGCTCAGAATAACAATCACTCAAGAAACTAAATGCATAATGTGATACATGCTCTACTGGGTTAAGTTTTCACTTCAGACTTAGTAAGTTAACCAGAACCTCTCATGCAACCTGAATAACATGCTTTTATCTGTTAGAGTTTCCAACTTTGAACCAGTAACTTGTATCATATCTCGCAAATAAATGATGAGATTTTTCTTGGTGATGCAGAATATCTACTGGAAAGTGGCTTCCAAATTTTTTTTTATGTACATCTCACTGCATATTAGTCAGTGGAAGAGAAAGGTTCTTTTTTTTTTTTGGGGGGTCGAAGGAAGAGGAAGGTTACTAAGTAAGAAGACCATATAGAGACCAAGTTGTCCTGCCATGAAAACTTGAAAGCATTCTTGGTACTACATTTTCAGATACAAGGTATGGTGCTTACGGCTCTTACCCCATGCACAAGTTTTTACCCTAAATGACACCCAGCACTAGAGTTTTGCATCATATTTTCATCTGCTTATCCTACAGCCCAAAATCGGGATATGGTAGTTTACATGCACTAATTGTTAAATCCAGAAAGAGTACTAATGATCCTACATAAGCATACTGAATAATCTGAAAATGCTTGGTATACTTGCGGGCAAAATGCGAGGACGGTAATGACAACAGCAAAACATTACTAGCGTCCTTGCGAAAATAGTCTCATCCACGACAGGTTCCAGATTGATCAAAAAACTTCTGTGTCTTATGTATAAAGCCTGAGGTAGGCTGCTTGAGAAGGAATTTCCAATGAGTGAGCGTTCTTTAGTTAACTTTTAGAAAAGATCGCTTATTCAGAAACAAGTCACTGTAGCTTCGTCACCAGTTTGATACTGATCTGGCTGTAATATAACAACCACCTCAAAGCTTCTTTCTTTCAAACTTAAAGTGGGCTGCAAGAAAATCGGCAAAGAGAAAGGTCCACGTCATTGAATGTTTCGCGATCAAGAAGCTTAGGAAAACTTTTAGCGTTGACTGCCAGACAAATCATTTAGATGATCTCAGAGCAACTGTCTCCATTTTGCTTTGGAACCACCTCCAGCATTTTGCGAGCACTTCAAAGGATCACCAGGCACTCAACCCTCGCAGCTAGCTGCTTTCACACATTTGTTCTTAAACAGCGTCAAATGTTGCCAAAGAAGAAAAGAAACAACTAGCATACATAGGTAGAACTAAAAACCCACGCAAAGAAAGAAAATTCCAATTTCATTAGCTGAATAGAGCACTATTTGCAGTTCGTAACAGTTACAAAAGAAGAAACTGCATAAAATTCTCACAAAGGGGTTCAACACAAACACAACCCCCCATATACAATTACTGCATAGACTTCCACATATAACACCACTGACCTTAAACTGAGAATGAAATGGATGATAACCCAGATTGCTGTACCCAATTTTGGGCGCCACTCCCACTCCTCCATTCGCCTTCGCGAGCTCGCCGCTTCCGCCACCTTCCTTCCTCTCTCCATCGGGCCCTGCCTCCGCCGTGTCTTCGCCCCATTCCTGCTCGACCAGCGGCTGGTTCGGGTCTCCATCGGCCACGATCACGAGCGGATCCCCGTCTTCGTCGTCATCGTCCTCCCCGCCAGCATCGCCAATGGCACCCATGGGGCCGTGATGAGCCGTGTTATCGTTCAACACTATCTGCAAATCATCCTCGCTGTCGCTGTCCCAATCATCGCCCCCGTTGCCATCCCGAGCTCCGCTCGGCTCCCGCGGCCCCGACAGCCCGGGAATCACCGGGTCCTCCATCCCGTGCTCGTTGTTCTCCTCGATATCGAACTTCACGTCCGCATCCATCGAATCCAAATCCCTGCTCCCGCTCCCTCCTCCCGCTCCTCTCCGGGCGTCCGATTTCTCGCCCGGAGGGGGATCCAAAACCCTAGCCGGCAAATCCGCATCGCCGCTCCCAGCCGATTCGTTCTTGACGGAATTGAGGCTGAGGGACAGGGCTCTACTAGGGGGAGGCGGATCGCCGCGACGCCGAGCTCCGAAAAGGGTCGCGCCATCGTCGTCGTCCTCCTCCTCCTCCTCGGCGCCATCGCCCGCGCCGGCGGGGACGGAGGTTTTGAGGTTGAGATCGATGGGGGGGCGGCGAGGAGGAGGAGGAGGAGGGGGGGCGGCGGCGGGGGGTTCGGGGGAGGTCAGGGGAGGCGGCTGCGGGGCGGGGGCGGCGGCGGCGGAGGAGGAGGAGGAGGAGGAGGCGAAGGGCTTGAGGACGTCGGTGTAGAGATCTCCGAACTCGTCGTCGTCATCCATCGGAGGAGGAGGAGGAGGAGGAAGAGGGAGGAGGAGGGTTTTGAGGTCTGCGAGCGAGCGAGAGAGAGAGAAAGAGAGAGAGAGAAGAGGGGTGGTGGCTTTAGGTAGAAATTTGCTTGTGTGTGTGTTGTGTTTGTGAGTGGGTTTTATATAATGTTGTTGTGACTTCTTGTTGTTCATCAGTACTGTGCTTGTGTTCTTTTGTACTTTGTGTTCCCCTGTCGCAAGGTCAATACGGGGAATCTACACAAATTTTTTTTTTTTTATATTTTAGGTTTTGTTTATTTCGCGAAAAATATGAGATATTTAAAAAAAAATATTTTCAAAAAATTCGTTTTTTTAGAAAAAATGACAATATTTTTTTGTGTTTGGTTGAAACTAAAAAATAAACCGAAAAATATTTTTTTGCCCTTTGGCGGGAAAAACTTGCTTTTATTTTCCGAAAGAGATTTGCACTACTTGTGCGATATAATGGATACACGTGCTATATCAAATTATTTTTGAAAGACCCAAAGGGCTCGAGTGTCTAGGACTGGGCCTCGGCCTCAAGGGAGTTGGGCCCGGCTACCAAGATTCCCAAAGCTCAAGCGAAGGGGTCTTGGCTAGGGGTGAGCGGTTCCCGGTCCGGTCCGGTTCCAAAGTGGAACCGGGAACCGGACCGAGAGAACCGGTTCCCAATTTTGGGAACCGCGGACCGGACCGGTTGGTTCTAGGACCGGGAACCGGTTACTTAGAGTTTAGGGTTTTTTTTTGTCAAACACTTAAGGTTTGGTTCACATTTTACTAATTTTTGTCAATAAATTTATGTCAATGAAGTTTAATTAGGGTTTAATTCACATTTTACTATAAAATCAATGAATTTATGATAACGAAGTTCACTTAGAGTTTAGTTCACATTTTATTAATTTTTTTAAAGAAAAAAATAACAAAAATATATATTAACTAGTCGGTCCGGTCCGATCGGTCCGGTTCGGTCGATCCGGTCCGGTTCCCCCTTGGAACCGGGAACCGGATCGCCCGGAAACCGGTTCCGCTTTTAGGAACCGGGAACCGGACCGATAGTCCTGAGAACCGGACCAAACTCGTCGGTCCGGTCCGGTCCAGTCCGGTCCCGGTTTGAGCTATCCAAGTTGCTCACCCCTAGTCTTGGCCGTAGAAGCTAGGGTTTCTTGGACCTAGCCGCTAGAAACCTGAGCACGGGCGTCGAGTACCTAGGACCCATCTCGTGGACCCGGGCTCCAATGCCAATAACTAAGGTTTGGGAGCCTAGTACCCAAGGACTCGGGCACGGTTACGCAATAATCGTATAATGAGACCCAGGCACATTCGACGACAAAAATCGTATTAATGAACTGACTAAATAATATTTCAATAGGAAATATATGGTCATTTTGAATAGAAAAATATAGATTTGTGATTTTGAATTTCGAACAAACCGGACAAAGCAAGGTTATATTTCTTATTTTGTATGGCTAATAACATATTGGCCAAAATAGAAGTAGAGCTCTCTAAACAATCCGATCCTACGAGGCAAAACCTGTTCATTCACTGATGTGCGGACTGGTTAGCAAATTCGGTCATTCAATCTTGTGATGTGAATAACACCTTGATTTTAGATAGGTCGCCCAAAGATTTGATTCTTTTATTGATAGGAGATCAGGTTGGATCTAGTTTCGTTAGATAATTTTTGGTGTAACTTTAGGCTTTGTACCTTTCAATACCTAAAAACAAAAAACAAAAACCTGTTCATTTGCTCTTAAGGACTCACCGGGTGACGCTCAGTTCATTGAAACGAGCAAACAATCTCCTCCTCCTATATTTTCAAGCAATCTTGGCGCCCGTGGTCGAGAATCAAGATGGTGAGTTTTTGTGAGGAAAATTTGACCGAACACTTTGTTGCGCTAATTCATCTCACGTAACCGGTACGTACGTTGCACGAAGTGATAAGCAAAACAAGTGCAACAATACAAAGAGGAGAAACACAAATTTATGTGGTTCGACAGATCAATCTGTTTACATCCACGGGGCAAGGACACGGAACTCACTTGTATAACAAGAGAAATTACAACGCACACCCCTCAACCCAACAAACACCAAACAGTGGGTTGCACTCTCAACCGTGAATCTTTTCTCAGTACAACTCTCACAATCATAGAGATACTACACACCCAAAATTCCCTTACAAGAGATAATCGAGACCCCCAAGTTCTATTTCACCCAAACGTAGAGAAAAAACAGAGGAATAACCCAAAGCACATTAACTCTTAACTGTTTCCTCTCAGTCTCTCTCTCCTTCACATGTTCCCAAAGAAGTAGAGGGGTGGTTGTACGCACTAAAGTAGTAGAGGAGTGGCATCAACAGTTACTTCTTATTTTTTAGGTGTCACACACTTGCCATGCATTCGTTTCTTCCCCGTCCTCTTATGCCAATCTTTGTTTTGTTGCAGTCTGTCACTCTGCACACGAATCTTGGTGACATCAAAGTGCGAGATCTGCTACGTCGAGATCCCCAAAGCTGCTGAGGGCAAGGACTTTCGATCCCCGTTGCTCCTCCTCTCCTTGTTTCTTTTCATTGCGCAAAGAAGAAGGTTCTTGGTGAAAACTTCGAAGGAGGTGACTTATGTGCTCTTTTTAAAAAAAATTTCGGGTCACTTTGTACCGGTCGAGCATGCGAGTTTTAGGCTTGCTGTGAAATTTGTCGCCTCTACGAAGGTTTCAATATGAATCGACTGCAAATTGACTTTAAAATTGACATTTGCTATGTTTTATTGGAGATTTTGAGATGTTATCGTGTCCAAATGTTATTGTGAAGATTTGTGTTGTGGATGTTTATGAGGAAGTGCATGATAAGGGTGAGTATGGTTTCGGGATGGAACTTGGAATCAAAACGTAGGTTGAAACATGTAAGTTCTAGGTAGACCTATCATTCAATTTTCTTGACCCATACCCGACCCAACCCATATCCAACATATACCCGATCAGACCCATATTGCTAAAACACTTTCATATTTAATTAAATATAGAAAAATTCATACCCAAGCTAAAATGAGAGTGCGGAGTGAGTGAGTGCAAGATTGAGTGAGGGTGAGAGAGATATGTTGAGTTTAAATCGGTTGTAAACCCATTTATGACCTATTTACTAAATATAACTAACCCATTTATAACCCATTTACTAATATATGGGTTAAGAAATGGGTTTATGACCCATTTTGACAGGTCTAGTTCTAGGTTCCAAAATATACAGGGTAGTTTCTAGATTCCAAAAATTGGGGAACATGTTTTGACGGGAAGGTTCCAGATTCTAGGTAGGTGAAACCTAGAACCTGGAACCACGAACCTGAAAGCTTAAACAAGTTTTTTTTGTGTTTTTTCTTGGTTTATATCTTTGCATGATCCTGTAGGGTTCCATGGCGTTAGATAATGAGTTTATAATTTGAAACCATTGACATGAGCTTTCATTTTATGACTTGTTAATATTTCATATTCTTCATTTGTCTAAATATAGTAGGAAAATGACTTTTTTTTAAAGATGAATTCATTTTCCTTTTTTCTGAATGTGTTCTTTCATTGATTGAAATTATTCCTTGACTAATTATTTACTATGCACCAAATGCCGAAAAATCTGGAAAACTTTTTCTTGAAAGTTGTTTTCTTCCGGACAAATAGAGCCTAAAGTTTCGATCCCTTTTAAGAAAACTTTGCTTTTTTTTTCATATTTTTCTTCAAGGACAATATGAAAATGGCAATTTTCTTTTCTCTCAAACAAGAATATAATCTTTAGAGAAGATAATGAGAAGTGGAATGCATGTCAAATAAATTTTTTGCCAAGTCATAGTATAATCGGTTTTGTAGATAAAACAATACGCTGAGAAGAACAAAATGAGCAAAATCCTATGTAATAAGTAGTTATAATTGAACTTGGGCTCAAGCAAGTCTTTAAAAGCCCAAGGTTCCTTCTAAAGTTTCTTCCTTAGGCTTTCGGGGATGTAAAACCCATAATGGGATATTCTCTCCTCCCGAGAAAAATCCTTTGCCAATTTTGTTTGTTGCAGTCTGTCACTCTGCACACGAATCTTGGTGACATCAAAGTGCGAGATCTGCTACGTCGAGGTCCCCAAAGCTGCCGAGGGTAAGGACTTTCGATCCCCGTTGCTCCTCCTCTCCTTGTTTCTTTTTATTGCGCAAAGAAGAAGATTCTCGGTGAAAACTTTGAAGGAGGTACAAAATTTATGTGCTCATTTTTAAAATTTTCGGGTCACTTTGTACCGGTCGAGCATGCGAGTTTTAGGCTTGCTGTGAGATATGTCGCCTCTAGGAAGGTTTCAATATGAATCTACTACAAATTGACTTAAAAATTGACATTTGCAATGTTTTGTTGGAGATTTTGAGATGTTATCGTGTCCAAATGTTATTGTGAAGATTTGTGTTGTGAATGTTTATGAGGAAGTGCATGATAAGGGTGAGTATGGTTTCTTCTTTTAACTTGGGTTTTCAAAAATTATCTTTTCCTTTTTAATTCTAACTTAAATTGAGGAAGAAAATAATGAAAAATACCACGTAGAAGAGAGAAAATAATAAAAAAATATTTTTTCACTACGCAAATTGACAAAGTTAATGAAAAGACTAAATTGCACAAATTTGACAAGTTTTATAACTTGATTGTACATCCTAAATGTTTTAGAATTCAATTACACTTCCCTGATTTTTAGTGAACTTATCCAAAAAAAAATACATTATGAAACAAAATGATTGGTGAAGGATTAAAGTTCTTAAATTTTACATTGCCAGTTGGATCTTGCATGACCAAATCATTTTAACTAGGAAAATGACTTTTTTAAGATGAATTCATTTTCCTTTTTCACGAATGTGTTTTTCATTAATTGAAAATATTCCTTGACTAATTTATTTACTATGCACCAAATGCCGAAAAATCTGGAAACTTTTCTTGAAAGTTGTTTTCTTCCGGACAAATAGAGCCTAAAGTTTCGATCCTTTTAAGAAAACTTTGCTTTTTTTTTCATATTTTTCTTCTTCCACATCTAACAATGGGTGCCTTTGGTATCTCAATCGCATTTGGAATCTTCTTTGGGAATGTCGCCTCCTTGGGTGGAAGCCCTTTTTAGGAAAAATGCGCATGAATGGCGTTTGGTAAAAACTCATTTGCAAAACTATTGACCCAAATGATTTTTTTATTAATTTTTTACAAATGGGCTTTGAGGGTTTTTTTTAAAAAGGCAAAAATACCTATTCCTAAAGTAGAAAAGGGCTACGGCGCCGTTTGATAACTACACAAATTTACGTCGTTCCCAAATAATATTTTGAATTTTTTTCGCTTTCTACCGATTTTCTTCTTTGGCGAGGATGCCGACCTCGGGCGACGAGGCTGAGGTCGCGCGACCTGAGGCCGCCGCACGGCCGCTGGGTCCGCGACGGCCCCGCCGGGCGCCGGCGGAGCGAGGTCGCGTGATCTCGGACCCTTGCCGCACGCTGGGAAGCGGCCCGCGACCCGGCGAGGCTCGGCCTCGCCCGAGGCGCGAGGCTCGGCCCGCTGCGAGTCGCGACCTCGGCGTGGGTCGCGACGCAGCGAGGCTCGACCTCGCTTCGCGGATCTGGGCGGCCGCCCAGGCCGGCGGCCTGCAGCGGGCGATCGCCGCAATGAGGAAATCGGCGAGGTCCGGCCACCCTCGCCCTCGCCGCACTCGCCTGTGACGCCTCGCCGTGCCCGGCTTTGCCCTCGCCGGAGTCCCTTTGGTGAAGAAGATGAATATAAAAATAAGAAAAGAAAAAAAGAAGAAAGAAGAAAAAAATTTGAGTGATTCTCAAAATTGTTTGGGAAGTATAGAAAATGATTTTGGCATTTGTTTTTCTTCCAAAAGTCCAAGCTTCTCGGCACAAATTTTTACAAAAATGTGCCATTTTCAATAAAAATTCTGGCGCCGAAAGCCCTTCCCAATGCGAACCAAACGCACCCAATATAAAAATGGCAATTTTCTTTTCTCTCGAACAAGAATATAATCTTTAGAGAAGATAATGAGAAGTGGAATGCATGTCAAATAAATTCTTGCAGAATTTATAGCCGAACAATTAAAGAATAGAGTTTCATTTCGCAAAGCAATAAAACAGGCTATTGAATTAACCGAACAGGCGGATACAAAAGGAATTTAAGTACAAATTGCAGGTCACATCGACGTAAAAGAAATTGCACGTGTTGAATGGATCGGAGAAGGTAGGGTTCATCTACAAACCATTCGAGCTAAAATTGATTATTGTTCCTATGGAGTCCGAACGGTCTATGGAGTATTAGGCATCAAAATTTGGATATTTGGGGAATAAGAATGGGGAATAAGAATACTTTCCTTGTCTTTACTCTTTACACTATATCCATTGATAAAAACAAATAGAATTAAAAAAATTTTTACAAGGGCTTGTGCTTCTTCATTTTTTTAATTGGGTTTTTTCAAAAAAATTATCGTTTTTTCTTTTTAAGTCTAACTAAAATCAAGGAAGAAAATAATGAAAAATACCACGTAAAAGAGAGAAAATAATAATAATAATATATTTCGCTAGGCAAATTGACAGAGTTAACGAAAAGACTAAATTGCACCAATTTGACAAGTTTTATAACTTGATTGTACATCCTAAAAATTTTAGAATTCAATTGCACTTCCACGATTTTTAGTGGACTTATCCAAAAAAAAAAATACATTATGAAACAAAATGATTGGTGAAGGATTAAAGTTCTTAAATTTACATTGCCAGTTGGATCTCGCACGCATGACCAAATCATTTTAACTCGAGGAAGGAGATTTGCGAGTGATATTCCCGTGGTAATTTTACGGATGAGCAAAAGCAACCGCCCGGATCAGACTGAACTGATCGGTTCATGGACTATTTCCGGGGGCATCAGTTCAGTTCTTGGTTTTATGTGTAGAACTGCCCACGCAAGCCATCCAGATCGGACCAATTTTCTTTTTAATTTCTTCTCTATATGTAAAAACTAAAAACCCTAATCCTTCATTCACAACACAAACCCTCACTCACTCTTTCTCACGCATGACTCACGCTCCCTCTTCCGCAAATCTAAACAAAAACCTTAATCTCAATCGCCCTCTTGCTCGAGTCCCTCGCCTCCCTCTCACTCAATTGTCGCCTCCTTGAACAGCATTTTAGCCTTAAAACGAAAACAGAGCCGGTAAGACACAAGAGAGGGAGTCTTCCTCTTCCTCCAGCTCTAGAGTTTCGATTCCCTTTCTTCCATCTCTTCTATCGCTCTCTCCTTCCCCTTCGTCTTCTTGCCACAACAAGAATGCTGCATCCGGCTCTCCAGATGGCCGGCGACCCTCGATGTGGAACGTGCTTTTGAGATCATGAGTCGAGAGATAACGAGTGATTCCGATAACCCCTGCTCATTTCACTCGATAATGTCGGGACCAGTTAGAAATTTATGATTTTGAAGTGAACCAGAAATGTAGTTTGCCTTTTTTATGGCACGAAGCGGGTACGATGAGTAATGCTTTTCTTGCACCGGATCGGTTTATTTCCTTTGGTCTGTGAAGAGTATAGTTTGTGGAGAGGACAGTAATGTTCAAGGAATGCCAGCTGTTTTCATTGGCCCACCCAAGCAGTTAAGTCCTGTTCCTAATTCCCGAATGGAAACCGATCACCTCTAGTAACTTTTATTTATTATCATAGAAAATAGAAGTACGAAATTAGTAATTTTGAGTAAAAACCAAATTAATTTCAAATTTGTTTTGTTTTTTTTAATCTTTTCTTTTCCTTTCCTCAGTGCAGTAGCAGCAGAGGCCCGTAATAGTCGAAGCAGAGAGATAGAGCAGAGCGCAGAAGAAAAAGAGGGAAGCTCTCCATCGCCGTCGCCGCCGCCGCCGCCACCACCACCACCACCACCACCACCATTCGACGATGATCGGAGTCGGGAAGATCAAGCAGTACTCCAACGTCCTCGACAAGCCTCTCAGCAAGGGCAAGCAAGAGGTCTCTCTCCCCATCTCCCTCTCTCTCTCTCTCTCTCTCTGTGCGATAGAAATGCTTGTATCGCGGGAAAAGGGCGGCGATGCTAATCGCTGTAGCCGGTCCTTTTGCTCTCGAATTCGATCATTGCGCGCGCGGCTCCATGCCGCCGTGGATCGCGCGGGCTTGGATATGGCTTCGTTCGATTCTTACGGTTCGCCTGGACGGACCAGCAACGAGGGCTTCTTCTTCTTTCCGATCTGTGGTCGCACTTTGTTTTTGGACACTTCATCTTGAATGCAGTGCTGGGTTTGGGTGTTGTTGTTTAGCCGGGACTAGAATGGCCGATCTGGTCGGCTCCGTTTTGGTTCTCGAGGGGTAGTTATTGGAGAAATTAGGTCAATCCTCGGCAAATGAACCTGCTGTTGTCCAAATTTGCAGGGAAGGGTCTTCTCCTTTTTACACCGGTGAGGGGAGAGGACGAAAGTTAGATCCTTTAAGCCAGAGCCAAGACAAGTTTCAATTCGCTTCTGCTTGCTTAGCTCTCTTATCCTTTCAGATTAGCCGGGACAGTGATACTCGTAGTTAGATGTGCTTTGAGAGCCATTCTTCTTATTCATTTTGCTTCTAGGTTGTCCGTATATAGCCGAGGAAAATTGCGATGGATTGTTGGATGGTTGGACCTCTTGTTTGGATCATGGGATGAATTATGTGTGCTTCGGGAGAACTAATCAACACGGGTTTTTACTCCGGGTGCAGGTCAGTTTGAGTGCTTTTTCTTTCTTGTTCTCGGAGCTTGTTCAGTATAACCAGACTCAGGTTGACAATATCGCAGAGCTAGAGCGCAGGTATGTATTTTTCTTGTTCTCATTTGTACATTCAAATAACTAAACACGAGCCGCCACCAAGATATACAAATTGGGAGATGATGTTGTTCTTCACCTTTGATAACCCTCACTTGTATGACTCAGGCTGGAGGATGCAGGCTACTCTGTAGGAGCTCGGGTTTTGGAACTTCTTTGCCATAGGGAAAAGGTAAGATGTGCACTGTGATTTCCCTAGTCAGTGCTGGAAATTACTGTTAGGACTCTTAGGTTTTATCAAGTGAATAGAACTTTTTAAGTTGTATTGTTGGGATCAATGGCTTTTTCTTTAGTATTTTGGCGCAATAGTTACTACTGCGAAGTACAACATCTTTTATCTTGGTTGCGATACATCACTGCAGTTACATCTAGTTGGATCTCACATGCTCTTGTGTTATAAAAAAAATCTTTTTGCGTGTAGGCAGATCTACTCTGATTGCACATGCAAGATATTCGATTATATCACATTGCACATCAATATACTGTGTATAAGTTCTTCAAGTTTGTGTTCGATTTCTGGAAATTTTATAGGCAGACTCTTCCTTAGATTCTCAATAATGTTGACCATGTTGGTTCCTCAATATCTTGCAATTATTGTTTCCGAATCACTGACGCATTCTATCACCAGAACAAATGTTCTGTATTTGCTGCGAGCTAGTTAAAGTTTGAATGTGGCCAGTTGTTTTGTCTTTTTACTGTGCAATCCTGTTGAACTAAATCTTGTTATGCTTTTCATTGCTGAAATAGATTCTTACTGTTAAATCGGAAGCTTGTGTTCTTTTCCAACATTTGCCAGCGAACAACTGAAAAATTTCTTCATGCACATTATGCTTTGTGACCTTCCATTTTCCAACCATTGCTCATTGCCATCATCCTTGCATCAGGGGCTTAGGCCATTCCCATAGCTCTTTTATTGTTTTTTCTCTTGTTCTCATTTTGCGGATGACTTATCGTTTTTGTTCTGTGAATTATTCTTTTGGCGCTAGACGTTAAGAGATATGAAAACAACTTTGTTAAGACAATATAATGTTGGCTCAAGAATTCTGTGGAGCCTGTGGTGCCATGCAATGTAATTTCATTGATAACTCACGAATAAGCACCTTTTATGTTGGATGTCATGCAACAGGAGTGGTGACTGTGAATATGATATTTTTGGCTCATCTGCTGCTTATTTTTGCTTCTGTCGCAGGGAAATAGGAGGGAAACCCGTTTGTTGGGTATTCTATCTTTTGTACACAGCACGGTGTGGAAGGTTTTATTTGGCAAGGTGAATCATATAGCTTTTTTCTGCTTTATCATTCATGGTAACCTAAGGCTATGTTTGGGAGCATACTGAGGAAGAAAATAGAAAGAAAATGCTTCATATTTCGAACTTTCCCTCCTCTTCTTACTAGCAAAATTTTAAAATTTTCAAGATTTTCCACTCCAGATGCCTCAAATTTTCCACCATTTCCCAAACGTAGCCTAAAAGATGTAAGTCGTTTTTGTTTCTTGTAGTGGGCTGTTAGGCTGAATATGACTGGGGGCTTTTTATACATGGCAGAAGAAGAGAAACATTCTTGCATTCATGGAACTTGCAATTCTTTTCCTCCCTCAAAATTGATGGTTCTTAGCCTTCTTTTAGTGTATATGTTATTTCCATAGTGGGTTTAACCTTTGTAAGACTCCTTTTTTCATCCTTATAGGTGGCTGATTCACTTGAAAAGGGGACTGAACACGAAGATGAATACATGATTAGCGAGAAGGAGCTCCTTGTCAACCGGTAATGATTCTCTCGTTGCTCATGTTGTCTATATAATCACGGGGAACCAGCTAAAGTTGTATTATTAGCTAATGGCCTGAACCTGATAAATCCAACCTCATTGGATGTGTAGGTTTATATCTATCCCTAAAGATATGGGGACGTTTAACTGTGGGGCATTTGTGGCTGGAATAGTAAGGGTAAGTGCTACATTGCTTTGTCCTCATTAGCTGGTAGTTAGGCGATCTGGAGCTTTGACGAAATTTTTTGATGCTTCATTGAAGGGTGTTCTGGATAGTGCTGGATTTCCAGCTGTCGTAACTGCACACTTTGTTCCTGTCGACGGGCAACAAAGACCCCGGACTACAATCTTGATAAAGTTTGCAGAAGAGGTTTCTATCCTACTGCTTGCCATTTTATGTTGTAATTCATTAAATTCTTTTTGTTTGCCTATTCTGGCCTTTTGCTATCCCTCGTTTCAGCTCATGTAAGTGATGCTCGAATGAGCCTCCGCATCATTTCTTTTTACTGACTCTGTAAATGCCCTTTATCAGTTTTCCTCCATAAAATGCAATGTCATCTCAGCTGTCTCATGATGCAATTTAAGTGTTGACAAGCACTTCTAAACTTTTTATAATCATGACCACTTCTTGGTCAAATTATCCAGTTGATGGTTATATTTTCCTTCCAGAAAGTTTTTTCAAGCCATAAGTTATAATAAGAGTTGTTTTTCTATTTTATGACTCTTTATGGTTGAGTCAACAAGAAACGACTCATTTTGCTTTCTATCAATACCCATGAGGAGTATGTTTTTCCTCTTTTCATGGCACACTGGTGTTCAAATCAAATTGACTTTTCTTGTACTTTCATCTCCTAGGTACTTAGGAGAGAAGCAAGACTGGGTTGAGTTCCTTGCACATTCCTGCGTTACTTTCATCAACTTTGATTCGATTCATATGGTCACGATGGAGAATTTGGCTGCTGCAAAGTAGTTTTCACTTGCCGGACACACTGTCATTTCCAATATACCCTGTTTCCAGCTTGACTTATGAGCGAGCATGAGATCTAGAGTAATGAGTAATGGTGCTCTTATCCCAGACACGATCATTTGAATTATAGCGTTCCAGTTCATGTTGTTGCTCCAAAATGGGATTGGGTAAATGCTCGAGCGATATTGGTGACGATATAGACACAGCTCTTGTATTTGGCTGTTAGCGCTGACAGCGAACTATCTGTAACGATACGTCGAAGCTGACTATTGTATTTCAATCGAATTTTTGTATGTTTGCCTTGCACGAGATATGGTTGTTTCCTGTAATCATCATTTAGCCATATATGTGAGAGATTGTGATCCTGAGTCTTGAATGATATCATGATGCTACGACCGGGGCTTTGAGGTAGTAGTCCAATCGGTGTTGTCAATAGTAGTGTGGTGTTTGCTGAGGTTTTGCTGCATAGGAAAATTGTTCGAACTTGCTCTATCGACTATTGCTATTTGTATTCGACAATTTAAGGGTGTCAATGGGTCGGTTCGCGTTTATATATTTTGTGGCTGGAGGGGAGATAGGAGCGAAATGAACGGGAACGCGAGGGGGGTTGAGGATTAAAACCGTGAAATTAGGGTTTAAAGGAGGAGGAAGCAGCAATTGGAGTTGACATACGGCGCATGTGAGGGAGTTTGCGTCGGGCACCGAGGTACCCCTGCATGCCCAGCCCTAGCAGACCTCCAAACATCGTTGCATGATTAGCGAGTGGTTAGTTTGCAACATCCATTTCAATATAGGTTAGAATTTCAATTGGGAAAATTGTCTAAAAAGTTATAAACTTATTGCACTTTTGCCAATTCAGTCCTAAACTTTTTAAGTTTGCCAATTCAGTTATAAGCTTTTTCACTTCTTGCTAATTCAGTTCTAAACATTTTCACTTTTTGCCAATTTAGTTCATCCGGCCAATTTTGGCTGATCGGCCGGTCGTCCTGCCAAAGCTGACGTGGTAATTTTTTTAAAAAATTTTAGAATTTTTTATTTTTTTTTCTGCCTTTCTTCCCTCTGGCCGACGAGGTCGATCTCGCCGGCCTCTGGCGAAGCTTGCTCCCGCCGGCCACTGGCGAGGGTGAGTCTCGCTCGCCGCTGCTAGGCCGACCTCGCCGTCACTGGGTTTCACCTCGCCCAAAGATGGCGTGGCCGGCTAGTGCCATCGCAGGTCGGCCTGGCAGCGGCAGGTGAGGCTTGCCCTCACCAGTCCCCAGCGGGGGCGAGATTCAAGAATTTCAATCAATTACACGTGAAGTGAACTCTCATTGTGTGTATTCATATCAACTTAGACTCCATCAAACATGCCTTGAATAAGATTGATTGAGAGAAAAGTGTTAAAAAAGTCCTCAACCTTTTTTTGGTGCCAATTCAGTACTAAATCTTTTGGTGTCAATTCAGTCCTAAATCTTTTTTTTGTGCCAATTCATTCTTAAACTTTTCCATTGGTGCCAATTCATTCCTAAACCTTTTGCATTGATGCCAATTCAATCCTTTCGGCTAATAGCTATTCAAGTGTCGAAGGATTGAATTGGCACTAATGCAAAAGGTTTAGGACTTTTTTGACACTTTTCCTGATTGATTGAGTCTACTAAAATTATAATTTGGGGATATTCACATTCCATTCAAGAAAAGCATAAGCTTTTTGAATCGAGAGATGTGTTCGGTACAAAATTTACGATTCAAAACGCGCTAAATATTCCACCATTGAGATGCGCCGTATATTCAAAAGAAAACCATAGGTTAGCAACCGCACATGACTAGATTGGGCAATTTTATTTGAGTGCGACTTCAGAAATGAAACAACAACAAAGCACAGCATTTTACATATGATTCATTTTCCTTCAAACTTTATTAAACTCGAACTTATAATAAACTAGCAAAAAAACAATTAAAAGGGTAATTCGGTAATTCAACCAAATTAGGGTTTTTGGCCTTAGAACCCCCTATAAAATCAGTGAATCCATCATCTTCGCTCAACTGCAGTCTAACGAGCAGCCGTCGGCAGAAGCAAAGGTCCGCAATCTCTCTTTTTGTTCCCTTCTCGCCTCCCCCTTAATCACTGAACTCGATTTCTCGTAATATTTCGATTGAAAATTTTCAAATTCGATGCACTTTCCTGCCTAGGAGTTGAACTAGAGTATAAAGGTTTGATCTTTTTGATCCATTGAAGATGATGTGTGAGTGAGGTTGGTGGTTTTGATTGGTTTTCGTGGTGTTCTTTGTTCTGGGCATGAGCTTTTTGATGTCACTGGGCTTTTGGCGATACAAAATTTGTGATTTTTTATGTCAAATTTGGGACATTTTGTGTTTCTCATGTTTCATCATGCATTTCTCTGTCTGCTTTTTGAGTTCAAGGATCGCCCTGCACATATTGGATTGATTGAACTCTTCTGCTTTATAGTGTATTTGTCTTTTTTATGTTGCTAAAAGAACCAATTGGGTGAGGTTCTCCCTTATAGATTGAGATAAAAGGAGCACTTGGGTGAGGTTCTCAGCATGTTTGAATGGCAGTAGTGTACTTTGAATCCTGATTTTGCTGCTCCCCCGTTTCTCTTCTTTTTTTCTGGTTTTATTAATGTGAGCCGCGCCTTATCTTATTGTTTGTAACAGGAAGGGAAAGTCTATAGCCTGATCGTCAATCGGAAAAAATGTCGGGGTGAGTGGAAATAAAGCCATTCTCTATGTTCCATTACCATATTTTGTTGCTTCTATGTACCTATCACGAGTAGCAAATTGCAACGTGGAATTCTATTGTTAATTCACTGAGAAGATTAGACACAGGTTTGTGTTTAGCTTGATTTTGAAAGAAAGACATCGTTTTCATGGGCTTTGAGCTTTGTTGCGTTAACGAAATTTTTGATTTAGAAAAGAGGGTTAGACTTACCTTTCAGAATTTGGAAATCCAGAAAATGGGTGTTTGCTGCTGATAATGGTATGAGTTTAGAGTAGATATTTATAGCATCATAGCTCCTCCAAAATGTGGATAGATGTATCCAAGCGTATCTGAACACATCAAGAATAAGCTGTTCATTCTATTTTGGAGATAGGGATATGACGTTTTCTACGGCACAATCGGACTCGCATGTGATTTTGAACAAGTTTTGTTGGCTGATATTGCAGAATTTTGAATATTTGAAGGAATGAGACTAAGAGTTTTATTTTGTGCAAGGACTGAAATGACAACTCAAATTATGTGATATTGCTGCTCTTTTTTTCTTGTTGTTTTAGGGCAGTAGGAGCATTCCATTATTTTCATTATGGAGGTTTGCAATTTTATCCTGTTTACTCTCTTTTAACTCATGCACTTCCCGTCTCTTTCTGTTGTACAGAGAAGAAGCTGTGCCTGTTGCTGAGACCCCTGCACCGGCTCCTGGTGAGCCCATGGACCTCATGACCGCTTTACAAATTGTCCTGAGGAAGTCTTTGGCCCACGGCGGGCTTGTACGTGGTCTCCATGAAGGCGCCAAGGCAATTGAAAAGCATGCCGCATTGCTCTGCGTATTAGCAGAGGACTGCAATCAGCCTGATTATATTAAACTTGTAAAGGCACTTTGCAGTGAGCACAACGTCAGTTTGATCAACGTGCCCAGTGCTAAATCTCTCGGCGAGTGGGCTGGGGTAAGTCATAAGTCTACTCTCAATTCGTTCGTGTTTCTCTTCATACAGCTTTGCAGATGAATGAATCGCCAAGTTTGAGCTGTCCAGTGCAGCGTCAGTATTTTGTTTTCTAATAGAATTGTTTCTGCAGTTATGCAAGATTGATTCTGAAGGAAAAGCAAGGAAGGTCGTCGGTTGCTCCTGTGTTGTTCTAAAGGTACTTAATTCACAATCTCTGTCTGATTTTAGTAACCTCTTGCTGGCCTATCTTATTTCTCTCGATGTCGAGTGAGAGCCTTAGGATACTGACAAATCATAGAAGAATTTTACTAATGCGCATAACTTTAGAACAGATAAGTGGTCATCTATGATGCTTAATGCTGGTGTAGAACTTTCGTTTTCTGCTTGCAGATAATCTTTGTCAAGCCCCCTCATTACTATTTTATCAATTTGCAGGATTTTGGAGAAGAGACCGAGGCTCGCCATGTCGTTTTGGAGTATGTGAAGTCACACTGAGAAGTACGAAGCGATTTCGGTCAGGAGAGGCTTTGCTTAGTTGAATGCTCCGAGGTTTTGTGATGGTTATAGTTGAACCATGTCTTATTTTTGACCAGTTTCTGCTGACAATTATGAGGGATGTATCAAATTATCAAGTTTGAAAAATTTTCCGATTCAGTCCATCATATTCCATGAAGGTGCCTGCACAGCCATCTGATTTGGGAGGCTCAGAACTCTGCATCACATCCTCTCAGATGGTGGTTTAATGTTTGATGCTTGATTCAGTCGGTATGTCTTTTTAGTTTTTGATGTATATCGGTCTAGTCTTTGACGAATTTAGCTAGGAGTAAGTAACACTTGTGCATCTTTGGATATTCACGGGCTGTAAGCCAACAATGGTTGGGAGTTGCTTGTTATCATCCGCGACGAGGCGGGGTTATTTGGAACATGGAGATCCATTTAAGGGATGTTTAGAAAAAAGGCTCTGGGCCGTCTAACCTTGGGGTTTTTTCTTGGAATTTTCTATTAAGATATCCAACAGTTTGGTAATTAGAAAACTCAGCACGGTATAGTAACTCTTACCCACCCAGATTAGCATATCATGGTGGTGTGTTTATGTTAACGAGTGTTGAAAATGTGCTCACTTTCACATTTTTGCTACATGGCTTGAGTTTTGACAATCTACTCATTTCGCGCTCCCCACCTCTTGGGGTGATCCTATAGACACTTTCCACGTCGGTCTGATGCATTCGCGACTCGACTTCTGGAGTGTTTCCGTTGAGGTTTGAACTCAATGCCACATAGAAAGGAGCAAATTCTATTGTCATCTAAAAGCACCACTTGTTGGTTGTATTATATGTATTAAAATTAATTTGGACCTTTGTATTATGTGAGATTCATGGGAGATCTATACGGGACTTTGAATTTGACAATCCATATATAACTCACTGAATACTTCCTTGTCGTTTATGATCACCACAACATCGCGATGTACGATGAACACTTCGTAATTTTCTCATAACATAGACTCCGGTCTCTTGGGCTAAGATAAAAGAAATAAACCAAGCTACCCTTTTCATGAACATTCATCTTCCTTTTTGTTCCAATGTAGCCATTGATTATACAAGTGCCAAAAAAATAATGCGGAATCGATTCATTGAACCAATAATATGATTATCCGATAGTCAGAGTGAATAGTGAATCATAAATACATCAAATCTTCAGATATGCAGATGTATATCTCCTTCTTTGACGAGGGATTTGACGCTGATCTCATCCCTTCATCATTCAAGAACCGAGTCAAGAACTGTAATTATCAAGAAAGAACTCCCTACTCCTTCCTTGCTGTACACATTGCTTCTTGTTGAACTATTGCGGACGCGCTTTGATCCCCTCTTCCAAGTGCGCCATACTATTCTCTTGTTTTGACTTTGGAACTTGTTTTGGAGTTTATAAACTTACTCAAATCCTACTTGCTGTTAATTATGCAGCAGCTGGATTAGGTTTGACCCATAACAATGGTTTACTCTCTCCTCTCTCTCTCTCTCTCTCTCTCTCTACAATTTGTACTAATCTTGTGACACTGAAAACAAAGTTGATGGGAGGGGTCTCATCTGATGTCCCAGCCGACCAGATTCTTTAAAAAAACCCTGCTTGCAGGACAGCACTTTAGAGCATAATCATTGGCTTAAGCGACTTAATCTGTTCTAATTTTGTGGATCCAAACCCATTCCTTTCATCTCTCATGTGGTTGTGAGTCAATAACAGAGAATGACTTTTACACTATCTTGAAAAATAAAAAAGTCAAGATGGAATCCTGATTGGAAGCTCTTGCAATAGCATGTAATTTTGTGAAGCTGAACTTCACATCAGCTGTCTAGAAAGTCAAACCATATATTCTAATTTAGGATCCTTATTGATGCTCCGGACAATCGTAAGTATAGTATACGAGGAACATCTCATTTTTTAAGGTAGTGATTACACATAACACGAGATAATGTATTATAGACTACGAAATTTCGTTATTCAGTGGGTTAACCAATGTTCTTGGCATACTCGTTAACGAGATCTTGTTGTTGAAAGGGTTTCATGAACCGAGTTAATATATTAAAATATTTTCTACCATTATCAGATAACCTTATATTTTTAGAACAATCGAAGGTTCGCTCAACCCTAACATGATAACATGAGTTACATGACAGTAAATCTTAAGGTGAAAGTCATTGTAATCATACCATGTGGGTGCACTCCAGTTGATGATCATCACATAATTCTTGAACCATGGCCAAAAAAAGAAAAATTCATTGGACTATGGTTTTTAAATACTTATATTTTGTCTTGTCTTCTTCTGAGAGCTTTTCTAATTCTTGGAGGGCAATCAATCCCCTTATTCGTAGAAACGTTCTGTGGTGTCATTGACTCTGTGAATTAGCCAAGTTTTCCAAGAGAGAATCATATACCAGTTTCTCAAGCAAGTGTACGTCTTGAGATTGAGTTTTATGCCATAGCTGGAACGCATGTGTCTATACCTAGCTTCATCAAGTACTTAGGACTCTCTAGAATGAGCAAACAAGATAATTATTACCTGCGCGTGCATCATTTAATATTAGTTTAGGGTGTTAATGTTGACTTAGGTTGGGAACTATAATGGGTGGAATGATGTGTAAAGGGGGAGAGAGTATGCATTGGAACATTAAGAAAAAGTGGTGGCATTGATTGGTAGAAGATAAGGACACCTACACTACACCCTCTAAAAGATGATTGGACTCTATCTTTGTTTAGGGAATTTTTAATTCATATATTTAGCCTTTAGTTAGCTTTTTTGCAATTTAGAGTCAATTTAAGAAGGAGACGTTCACATAGAAGTCTCTTGTCTAGTCATGTTTCTATGTTATCGTATAAGATAGGAAAATTATAAAAAAAAAAGGCTCTAAACTTATTGCCACTTCAGTCATAAACCTTTCGATTTAGCAATTTAGTCCTAAATCATTGACGATTTGCTAATGTAGTCCTTCTTGCCAATTTTCGCTAACAATCGCTGACGTCGACGCCAGTCGTTCTACACAGTACAGTCAGAACTGATATGGACAATTTTTATAATTATTTTAATTTTTTAATTTTGTTTTTCTTTTTATTCCCTATGCCGTCGCCCACCATAGGCGAGGGCTGCAATGCCCTCTCTTGCCCACAATAAAAAGAAAAGGAAAGAAAAGAAAAGAATAAATGGAAAAAAATTATGAAAACTTATTTAAAAATTGCAAAAATTATTCACGTTAGCACCAGCTGTGTCACATAGATGGTCAACGTCAACGTCAGCGATTTCCTGCAAAAATTAATCGGAAGGATTACATTAGCAAATTATCAAAATGTTTATGACTAAATTGGCCAAACTAAAAATTTATGACTGAATTGGCATCCGTGCAATAAGTTTAGAGCCTTTTTTTGGTAATTATATAAGAGAACTAGTCACGTAAAACTTATCACTCACCGCGTCTACTTGAAACTGTTATAACCATTCGACTCACGGGCGTTTCACATTTAATCACTTGATTACAAAGTATTCCGACTCTTTTCTTTTGTTACTTAGAAGGACGAAAGTATGTGAATATTGCGAATCCCCTAGCAAAGTCAATCTTGCTTCTTTGAAACATGAACTGATGATAGACTTCTAAACCTCCCAAGTTTCTTCGAGAATTCTAAGTCTAGGTCGAGTAGGATGGCTTCACTTTTCTTTCTTTCTTTAATGACACATTTAAATTAGACCCGTAATTATTTCAGGGGAAAAAAGATGATAGAAGAAAGCAATCTATTTTAGAAATTAGGCCATCATTAAAGAGTCCATGTGGGAGAACGGATTGGGGTCGCTCGTGCATGGGAGGTGAAATTCTTTGTTATCTCCCTTGCCATCCCTTGGTTTTTGCTTCCATCTCTAATCTCTTTTCCACATAAAAAAGAGAAGAAATTTATTTATGTGGTGAGATTGAGAATGTGAGGAGATATTGCTTGGGAAAGAGACCTAAAAACAAGCACAAAATACTTGCATGGGGAAGACAAATTAAGATGGAATCGAGGGCCTTCTAAGGGCTTTTGATTTGGTGAATTTGAGGCAGTGATGATAGTAATAGCAACAAAAAAAAATATGCCTGGCTTCTTACTTAACGATGGAAAATATTTGCTTTTAACGACACCGATTTGCTATATCCGAACAAAATCTCTATTTTGAAAAGACCAAACTCCCTTACAAACCTTAGCCTACATTCCAGATTTGGAAAAATAGGTTCTCGGGTAAACATTGGAACCGGACCAGAAAAACATGATGGGTTCCAAAGTAGGTTCTAGGTTTCAAAAACTGAAAATCGGTTCTAACATGGTAGGTTTCAGGTTTCAGGTTTGCAATTTACCTGGCCTGAAACCGATCACCCCTACCAGTGAGAGAGACATGAAGGTGTGCTTGTATGTTGAGCATACGTTGGAAAGGGGTGAGGGTATCTTTAGAAAGTGATATGGTAAAGTTGTAAATAGGTGAACAATTTTCAGGTCGCCCATACAGGTCGAGAATACCGATGAGAACAAACATATATATATATTCCCCGTCAAATTTTAGGCTAATTTTCATTAAGTTGTGTAATTTTCTTTTGAAAAATGAATTAGACTTGTGTCATTCTTTGAATTGATTCTCCTATCTATATATGCTTGTCAAAACCGTATTTCTTCTCACTTTGATATTTCCTAAATCACCATTCCTTTTTTTCTCTCGTACCATTCATTTCATAAATAACTAGCCACTTTTTTTTCTCTCTATTCACTTCTAGACTTCCTAAATTACATTTGCTTTCTTTATCTTATACTCACCTAATTAGTACATAACTAATCATTTTATATCTTTAATTACTTAATTACGGCGCATGCCTTACCCCATGTAAACAATTAAAGTAAAAGCACTACAATCAATGTACATTAAATCGTGAAAATTATTGATCCAAATAAAGCAATTGAAAAACATTTGGTATACTTAAGTTATGGCTGATATATATATTAGATAAAGTACAGAAACTAGAATTATTCTTTTGGTCGTTGGTTAATTGAGGACTTTGGATTTTATTTTTTGGTGAATTGAAAATTTAAGATTTTAGAAAAGCCTAACTATGATCTTGAGCTCGCCGTCAGTAATATTCAGGTGTCTGAAATCCGACGTGGTTCCAATTCAAAACACTTGTTAAGTGTTGTCTCCCTCTTTGTTTTCCCACTAAGATCACATCTACATGTTATTTTAATATTGTAATGGAATTCAAATTTAGGTTTCGTTTATCTTGCGGAAAATGAACAATTCAAAAAATAATTTTCTAAAAATGATTAGTTGTATCTCTTGAAATAATCAGTCAATGAAAAATATTTTCTATTATCAACAACAATTTATGTCTAAACATTTTTCGTTCATTTATTTTTACAAGTGGGACAAGCGAACATTTTGAGAAAAATATTTTCCAAATTATTTATTTTCCGCGAAACAGACGAAGCGTTAAAGAGAAAAAAAATTAAATTGGCCAAAGAAAATAGATAGGTAAAGGTAAAAAGAAGTTAACTACTCACTACCCACCAAAAACTACACCGAGCGAAATTCCTTAATTGTCTAGTGCAATGACCAGCTCCGACACTTTCTTTTGGAAAATGGTTAATATCACGAAAAATCTCAAATTAATATATTTGTGATAAATTTACCCCAAATTAAATTTCGGATCACCAAAAAACTCAAGATCGAAACGCCCGTGACAGATTTACCCAAAACTAATATAAAATGTTTTAATCCCCTGTCCAATTGCGTTATCGATTTAACAAGACATTGTCCAAAAGGGAATAAAATATAAATCACGGACGCGCTAACAAACTAGGTTTGAGAATTCGATACCGCTGGTCGCTAAAAATACCCTTCTTTTTTTATATTATTCGGGGAGAGAAAAATCCAATTTTCCCAAAAAAATATATTGATGACGTCACGAGCTGAGCGACGTGACGCGACGACGGACGGACCAGCCCCCCATAAGAAAGAAACACTCGAATCCCCGAAAGTCCTTCACTCGTCGCTTCCCTTCTCCCCTTTCCCCAACCCCACGCAACCTCCCCACCACCACCACCGCCGCCGCTTCTCCTCCTCCTCCTCCTTCATCAAAGCACGCAGAGATGCAACCTCCGCCGTCTTCCAGGGAGATTCAGGGCGGCCTGAGCTCCCTCCTCGGCCTCCACGCCGCCGCCGCCGGCGACGACTTCTTCGACCAGGTGATGCTCTCCTCCGCCCTCCCCGCGTGGCCCGACCTCGCCCCCGCGAATGCGGGCGGGCCCATCGAGCTGCCCGCCGATGCTGCGGCGAGGCTCCACCAGATCGGCAATGGCGGCTCCAAGGCGGCGATGATGATGCTGCAGCAGCAGCAGCACCAGATGCTGCTGATGCCCCACGACGTCGCCGACGGTTCGGGTCAGGTGGGTTCGCGACCTACTTTCGACTCGTGTTTTTTTTTGGGCTCTGTTTTCAGGAAAAAGGAAAAGAAAAAGTCGGGATTTTGATAACGGAGGAATCCAATTGATCGTAAACTGTGATCGTACGTGAAACTTCGGTTCGATCTTTTTGGGCACGAGCAGGTCGTTTTCAAAATCGGACGTCGAAAGATCGTGTCTTTACGGATTCCAGTTTGACTTGGCAGGGAGGAGGACGAGGAGGAGGAGGACACGGCGGCGGCGGCGGCGCCGCCGTACACTCACTGTACGATGGATTCGCCGGGTCGCTGCACGCGTCGGGTCAGGCTCCGAACCCGACCCACCTCTTCCACCCTCCTCAGCAGGCATCTCCCTCTCTCACTCTCTCTCTCTCAAAATGGTTGAACAGCTGAGTTTATCAGCGCTCAAAAGTTTGATCCTTTTTTTTCCGGCTCGCAGGGAGGCGGCGCGATACAGGCCGCGCCGAATTTCGCGGCCCAGGCGGCGGCGAGCGCGTCGACGGGCGGGGGCGGGGCCCCGGCCGCCCAGCCGAAGCAGCAGAGGGTGAGGGCGAGGAGAGGCCAAGCCACCGATCCCCACAGTATTGCCGAAAGAGTAGCCACCGCCGCATTTCCCTCCCTTCGATTTCCAAATACACGCCGAAAATAAATTAAATTTTTTCCAGCCGATTTTTCGTTATTTTCCCCACCCTTCTTTTAATTCAATTACGATCGAAATTAAACATATTTCATCAAAAAAAAAAGGAAAATTCATCCGTCCTTTTCTGGTTGTTTGGCACTTCGAATTGGTGCAGCTACGCAGGGAGCGAATCGCAGAGAGAATGAAAGCGCTGCAGGAGCTGGTCCCCGACGCCAACAAGGTCAGAATATTTTCCCTACTCAACCCCTGTCCCGGATTTATGACGTCACTGTTTTGTTGGGGGCGTGGGGGGTGGGTGGGGGAGGGGATAAAAAGGGGATTTCCTCTCGCGAACCGAATGCGCGCCGCCTCGGGGGCGACACGTGTCGGTCGTGGGTGTGGGCGGTTGTTCCGTCCGATGGGTCACCGTCGAGTCGGCTCATCTTTTTCTCTCTCTCTCGTTCGCTGCGCGTGTGCTGCCGTGCGTCCGGAAAATTAGAGGTGGTCCCCACCGCCGGATCTTCCGGTTGCCGTATTTATCGGATGGATATAATTAATCGCGCCAAAAAGCATCATCTTAATAAAATTATTTATTTTAAGTACTGATTTTTCTTTTAATACCTTTCTGTTGTTTTTGCGGACGGCGAATGATTATGGAAATTATTTCTTCAAAAAGATGATCGTTTTGTATTGCTCGGAATAATTAATCGATGAAAAATATTTTCACCGTTGATAGTAATTTACGTCCGAAAATTTTCATTAATTTTCTCATTGATACAGAGGATGTTTTTCGAAAAATATTTTTTGAATTTTGTATTTTTCGCGGAAGAAAATGATATTGATGTGGGGGTTACGATGGAATGTGACAGACGGACAAGGCGTCGATGCTGGATGAGATCATAGACTATGTGAAGTTCCTGCAGCTCCAAGTCAAGGTCCTCTCTTTTCTCCATTTTTTTTCATTTTTCGAAAAATTCCCATTCTTAATTAATTGTGTATTCGGAAAATTGGAATTTATCTCTCTCTTTTTTAACCCATTTTTTATTTTCGCTTGCGGAATATCAAACTGCTTTAATTTACTTTTTTTTAATATGAAATTCTGTATTTTTTATTTTATTTTTGGGGAGCAGGTGCTGAGCGTGAGTCGGCTGGGCGGAGCGGCCGGCGGGGTGGCTCCTCTCGTGGCTGCCATGTCCTCCGAGGTACATTTTTCCATTTCTCTCCCTATTTTTTCCCGACAGAAAAAGAAATTACTTGGAAAATTAGAAAATAGGAAAAAAAGCGGAAATTTCTAGTAACCCTTTTCAATGATGTAGAGAAATTTTTCTATTCAAATTGAATGCGCAGCCATTTTTTCTGTATAAAATTACAAATTTGGATCGTTAAAGAATGAGAGCGGATGGTTGTTTCGTTTCTAGGGAGGAGGTGGTGACTGCATCCAAGCGGGGCGGAACGGCAGCAACGGCGGCCATCAGGCGGCGTCGTCGTCGACCGGCGACGGCCTGATGGTGGCGGAGAACCAGGTGGCCAAGCTCATGGAGGAGGACATGGGGTCGGCCATGCAGTACCTGCAGGGCAAGGGGCTCTGCCTCATGCCCATATCGCTCGCCACCACGATATCCTCCGCCACGTCCCACCGGCCGAGGAGCGCCCCGGCCCGCCCCCGCAACCCGGCCGCCCTCGGGCCCGGCGGCGAGGGGCCCCCCGCCTCCCCCAGCGTGTCGGTCCTGACCGTCCAGTCGGTGGCCCTCGGCAACGGCCTCGACGGCGGGTCCGGCAAGGACGCCGCCTCCGTCTCCAAGCCGTGATGACCCGGGCCGGGCACGGAAACACGGGGCCGGAAAGGCGGGCCTAACGCCGTGGAATCGACGGACGTCCTTGAGTCATGAACCTGAAAGTGCCAAATACGACATCGCGGTAGCGACGTTTTTGGGGAGGGGAAAGCTAACTTTAACAGAAAGTGCCGGCTACTACTACAAGCTACGGACAAGAAAGGAAGACGAGATCGAACCAAATTCAGCGAACCTACTTTTGTTTGAGGTTCTGGACATTAATATTATTCTAGTACGACCTTTTTTTTTTCCCCTTTTTCTTTAATTTCTACATAATTGTGTTTATTAAAAAAAAATCAAAAGCTACCCGCTGTCCATCTTTCGTTTTGATGGGATTGTTTTTTTTTTTTTTTTAAATTCTGTTCATGATTATCAAATGATGGCTCTTAATGACTGCTTAATCACGGGTTAATTCCGTGATTAAAATAATTGATGGTAATTCTATTAGTTGTCTTCGGTTTGTGAAGATTGAATAAATATTGCGAGAATCTCGGAATCACCAATCAATAGGATGATCGATTATTGAACGGACAACGCAAAACGTGGAATTGTAGATCCCGGCTATACAAATTATTCCAACGCCGCGAATTGTTACGTACATGAGTTGACAATTGTTTTATCTTAGGTGTTAGTTAAGTAACTCGGCATTAAATTAACCTCGATGGTCAACCCGAATCACCTCTCCTGTACGCTACGACTACTCAAGTATTCTGATGGATGAAAGACGGTTGTGGTAACGACTCATCCTCTAAAAAAACCATTCATCAAGATCATAAAAAGGGAAGGAAAAAGAAGGAAAAGAGCCAACATTTCAGCAGCAAAAATATTGCAGCTGCGGCCAAATTCGTGTCATGCACGACAAGTTCATTGACCCCACGTTTCGTGCATCAACAAAACTCAGCAAAGAGCTAAAAAGCATTAAGAATACACGTATGGTATCCGGTAGTATAAGAACATCATGGACAGGAGTTGCGTCTGGGACATTATTCTAGGGTCGTGCACCAGATCTTTCGGCTCTAGTTTTTGATAGAGATCTTCTGCATCATGTCGTGGTTGGCAGTAGAGAGAGAGAGTTTCACGAACTCAAGAATCGCAGTCTGTAAGTCGGGTTTGAGGGAAGATAGTGGTGAGCGACGAAGGGCCTTTAAATGCATCATGATTTCGTGCCAAGTTTAGAATATAGGTCCCCTTTGGTCAACGAGGGAAAATTGTCCGAAAAATCCTAAATCTATTGCATTTTTGCTAATTCGATACTAAAGGCGACACCGGGCGAGGGTCAACCTCGCTAGATTTGGCCTGGGCGAGGCCTACCCTCACCGGGGCTCACCCTCGCCTGGAGCCTCGCCTGTGGCCGACGACGGTGACCCTCGCCCAAGCGAGGCCAGCCTGCCCAACCATTGTTTCTGGCTAGTGGCCGGTCACCGACAAAAGGAGGAAGAAGAAAGGAATCAAAAAAGAAGAAAAAAATCAATTGAAAAAATTGAAAAAATATTAAAATATTAATTAAAATTGTCCACATAAGCTCTGGCCTTGCCAACATAAGACGGCCGGCGTCAACGTCAACGAATTCTGGTCAAAATTGGATGAACTCAATTGGAATTGGAAAAAAGTGCAATAAGTTTATGACTTTTTTGACAATTTTCTCTTGTCAGTGATGCGGTGTAGTTGTTCTTTGGTCTATTTCAATTTCTTTTCCAAACCCAATTATTCTTTTCCTTTTTACTCTTTGAATAAGATTGAGACATCGAATCTCTGACTCAACTGACCCCATGGATGCGTGCGACTTGCCCATCCATGTGCGTCGAATGAGATTCTCTCAGAACTTGCAAGCGCAGTGTTCTAAGATTACTTTGAGTTTTTGTCATACCGGAATCGGGGCGCTCAATCACTCTGTCGAACTCTCGGATTCCAAACACACAAATTTGTGATATGCAAGGAAGGCTATCATGCCAATACCTAGGATCTATCAATTGGAGCTGTTCATCAAATGTCTGGCTCATGATCCAACGATTGACAATCTTTTTGTTCGATCAAGTTGCCCGTGCTTAGCATGATAAGTTTGTCCCGCTTAGCAGCACGGCACCTTAGAATCGATGATTATTTACACATCCTTTAGAAGTATCTTAAAGGGAAACATATATATTCAATACCAGACCGCAACGAGTTCTTCAATTCAGAGTCAGGAGGACTATGGTCACAATTACAAAGGATAATGAATCCAAACCCCGCCTTATGACTAAGAACGGTATCGGGCTTTGTTATCAAGGCCCAAAAACAAGTTCATTTTCTCAATAAATCGAGTGACCATTTGAGTGTGTAGACCCAGAACTAAAGAGGTAATATGGACTGGGTTAAAAGTTTTTTCCCCCCCCTTTGTTAAAAAAAGGGCGGGAATCCGGAGGGACAGCGGGTACGGCTACTCTCGACTTTCTCTGGGTATTGCCGTAAGGGTCTCGCACTTGCTTCGAAATGCTCGTATTTAACACTACCGATGGTATCCTTCCTCAGCACCGACCGCGGCCCGTTTGAGACGAGCGAGGACTATTGCCATGGCACAATCGTAAAAAGCTAAAGGACTTAAAAGAAGTGCTTACATGATAAAAAGGGAAAATGTGAAACCCAATAGGATTCGAGAGAGGTTAATTTGGTTACATCTTACCATATATTAAATGTCTGTTTATGCAAGATATAGATGCAATACTAGGCGTTATCACTAGAAAGAGCTCGAGTTTGACCTATTATCATATCTAGCCGGACTTATTTTCACTGAACAATAATCTATTCCTTTTCTCGAAAACGTTAACGATCGTACTCGATTTTCCAAGCCACCAAATGCAAGCTATCTTACGTTCAGTTTCCTATTCGATTTCGACGCGGGTTTCGCCCGATCTACGAGGTCGATGAAGAGCTCCGCCATGGGTCCGGAGTTTCCTTAGGTAAAAAAAAAAAAAAAGGGCGGACTTTCTCGACATAAAATAAATAGATCATAAAATAAAACCTTATATAGTTAAACCGATACCAAAATGTCTGTCATTATCCGGTAAGTGAGATTTGGTTAAAACAGAGAATTTTCCCTGGATCACGAAACGGGGGATCGATTGTCTAGGAATTGGTGGGATCGTGAGTACTATGGCAGAAGCAATTGTACTGCATGCGTCCTTTGTGAAACCATTTACCGCTGTGGGAAGGAAGATGCGATCACGACCGAGCCGTACGTACTAGTAACTTTCTCGTCGACATCACCTTGAACTGAAAATCTAAGTACTCGGTCTGCACGAATTTTCCGGGGTTTCTGGCCGCGAAATTCTGCTGCGATGAAGGGTCGATTTTCTTGGGGCGACCGTAATTTAAGCTCGCGTGCATCAGTACGAACGATATCTTGTCCTTGGATATATGAAGCTGAATAAGTTGGTGCATGCATGCCGAGCTTAATCCGCTACCAGCGCACACAGCGTACGATGCACAGAAAGAGACGGGGAAGATCATGGAAACTTGCTGAGACAGGATGCGGTGGCCCATATTGGTGCTAATAAACGATCAATCATGTCGACATGAAGCCTCCAACATGTGTACAAGATTCTCCCATGAATAGGAATCGGTATATATATATGGAGCTAGAGGTCTGGTTGTTCTATGTCGTGGCCGAGCCGCGGAGTGCTGTAACTTATGCTTTTTTAATGATACGTGACTTAGGGCCTGTTTGATAACCGACCAAATAGTGCCTGATTTTATTCTTTTATTCCCGGGAACAAAAAAAGAACAGAAATCCGTTTGGTAAATATTTTGTTCCCGGGCACAAATTTGTTTTCAGAATCAGTTTTGGAACATAATCAAGAATAAAAAAAAAAGTTGATTCTTGATTCTGGGAACAAAAATCAGGAATAAAAGAGAAATTTTCTTTTTCTTCTTTCCTTCGTGGCCTGTGGCTGGCTCTTCTTCTTTCCTAGCATGTGGCCAGTGGCCGGCGACCACTTGGCGATGACCCTCCCTGGCCACTTGGCAAGGGCCGCCTTGCCTGCGACCGGTGTGGTTGCAAAGACCCTAGGCGAGGGCATCAGTGCCCTCACTGGCCATGCGCGCCCTCGCTCATGGCCGGCAAGGGTCGTCGACAACCCTCGTTTGCCAAAATGAAGGAAAAAAAAGAAAAAAATATAAAGAAAAGAAAAGAACAAATAATTCAAAAAAAATTGAAATTTTTTTAAAAATGTTCACGTCAGCTCCGGACGTTCGATGTAGCACGGTCGGCATCTTCATTAGCGTTTTTTGGCCTAAATTGACCGGAAGGACTGAATTGATATCAATGTGAAAAAATTTAAAATTAAATTGGTCCGAGTGAAATGTTTAGGACTGAATTAGTATCAATGTAATAAATTTAGAACTTTTTTTGTACTGTTTCCCCCAAGAAAGCATATTCTCTTTCGGGGTTTCTTTTTCCCACTTCTTCTTTCCCCCTTAAGATAAGATACAGATGGAAGCACAAAACTCTCTCTTCATGCTTGTTCGTTGTCCATTTCCAAGCAAACGTTAGATTTCGCACTACATTTTGCTCTATAGGACCACACTGTGGTCCTCCAACCCTGCCTGAACTTCGTAGGCCGCAGTCCATCATCAGTTGTCTGAGCTGAGGGTTTTCAGGTATTTGTGAAGGAGTGCATCTGCTGCTGAACGAGTGAGTGGTGTGCTAGGGTTGGGAAAGTGTAACAAGCTAGGCTTTCGGGGCGCAAATGATAATCATTTTATTTCCTTATTTTTCTATTTTTTTCTCCGGAAAGAGGTTTGGAATAGAAATCCGTTTGGTAAAATAATTTCATTTTTTAATTTCCGGGACAAATTTTGGTCCAAAAATAGATTTGGAACAAAATAGAAATAACAACTCTATTTTCGTCGCCACCGCCACCACCCTCGCCGGCCCCACGCCGCTGCCGTCGCCGCTGCCGCTCACCATGCCATCTGCTGCCGCGTCGTCCAGTTGCCACCGCCGTTCACACCGTGCCGCTCGCCGATCGGCCGCCACCGCTGCTTTTCGTCGGCCGTCCACGCCACGGCCGCTCGCCGCCCCTCATCGCCGCCGCCGCGGCCATCCCAACCAGCCGCGTCCTCGTCGCCACCACCACTCGTCCGCCCGCTCATCCGCATCCGCTGCCGCTCGCTGCCACCGGGAATAGAAATTTTGCGTCGTTATCAAACGAATTTCTATTATGGGAATAAAAATTTTGTGTCGCTATCAAACGCTACTTTT